ACGCTTACAGAGAGAAATAAGAAAGATGCCATGACGTTTACACTTTTACAACCAGACCGTAAGTACCTTAAGTAGGTAACCGGCGAACAACTCGAAATACTTCCCGGTATCAGTAAGTAACATGACACCCACAAAAACTGTACAAATGAATACCCGATCGGAGCACACACACACACCAAGTTCCGGGTAGACGAACGTACTACGTAGGGCGGACCTCGTTATACCTACATTTAAACTTTCCGGCAAAAGAAAGAACGAAAAAAAGACAAAAGTAGACGATGAAACTTGTCCACCTCTGTGTGTAGTGTAACGAACCGTGCGTGCGTGCGTGCGCCGCCGCCGCCGCCGCCGCCCTCGGTATCCCCCCCGAGGGATGAACGGATACCTATTAATTAATGGACTGGATGAGACCCAGGCTGGACCCTTTGCTTAACCCTTGATTATCATCAGCACAATTGAGACACACAGCAAGCAACTAATGACAATTCTTTGGTTTGGAAAACTGGAACCGTTGATGATTGGACCAACAAACATTGCATCGAGGGGACTTTTTTGGGTTCAGGTTCATCGAAAGCCAAGGTACTGCATCACGGTGTGTATCAATGTACCTAGTGTATTGGATCGATCGGATTGGATTGGATGATGTCAGCGACGCAGCGTAGTAACCTTTTTAGACTTTTGGCCGCTGACAAAGAATCTATGGACACACGCTACGGGAGGGTGTCAAAGCCGAACCGAGTAGGAAGGTATAGCAGCAGCAGCAGCAGCAGCAGCAAAACTTCAAACTGCTGGACCGGCAGAAGGGACCAGACGAAGAGCGCAAAAGAAAGAAAGAAAAAGGACTCTGATAAGACCTTTCCAGAGCACGCATGGATCGATAGCACTTAAAATGGATTTGTCCTTTATTAACCACCTCAAGACTGGGGTCACCCTAGCAAAGCGGTCGAAGCCTTAACGTCCGTCCAGTCTGTTCTGACGTCCAAGCGTTCGCCATGGAAGGAGGTGGTTTTAGCGAAAATGTTGAAATTACCATATTGGTTACTAGCAATCGTTACCGATTTCACCCATGTGTCATGGGACGGACGGTTCCTTGGATCAGATAAAACACGCAGGCAGGCAAAGGGACGGATCTCGAGAACGACGCTTGAAAAGGAATTGAGGCTGTGAATACTTGGCCGTGACGGCCTGATAACAAAAAAACAGATGAATGGCCGAGGTACATAAACCTGAAGTGTTTGACTGCGAAAGTTTTGAGACGAAAACATTTCACACTACACACACTAGGCCATGGCTCCACGGATTGGCGACGTCGAAGGTCCTGAGTTATTTTAAAAAGATGCTATAAAAGGAAAGGGAATTCGGGATGGCATCATCGCCCGACAGGTTGATTTTGGTTCGTTGGAGCAGACCCTTGATATCCTCTCGCGACCCTTGAATGTCCTTCTCCCAACCCTCGCAAAATTTAGGTAACAGATCTCACACAAGGCCCTTTTACCTTTCCCGTCACGGCATGGAATCCAAGAATGATGGACCTGAAGAAGCGAACGGAATCGCGAGTTGGTTGGGTCACCCCTCCCAACTGGAAACGGTAAGTTTGTTTTCTGCCCGATACCATACCCCAAGCTCCGACATACTGGTCAATGCAAGCTGGCAGGGGTGTTGCCCAAAAACTCAAAAAAAAAAGAAAAAAGAAATTTCCGTGCCTGCCGTTTGACGTCTTGAACTTGCCAAAATAAAGAAAAGAAAAGAAAAGTATTCCGCTTGTCGGCCTACCCGACGTACTTGTTTGAGTATGCGCTGTTGTCAACTCGGCGGCAGACAAAACTGAAGTAGTGTAGTGTGGTGTATTGGCGAAGCCATTGGCTTTCTGGCTGACATCACTCACAGTTGACGAATGGCCAATCATGTGCTGTCATGGAGCGACTGTTGAGTGAGATCGAGTAAGCATGTTCTTGGGTACTCCTGAGTAACGGATTAATGATGGGCTGAGTCACTATGATCCCGTCGGTTAGGTTGTCATGGAGGCGGATGGATAGTATTATCCGTGACAAAGAAAGAAAGATAAGGCTCGCACCGATGCGAAGCGGTAGTCTTTGGGTACCTCTAGGTAGGTAGTTCATTGTTTGATGTTTCCACTTGGCTCTTTCATCCTCAAAACCACTGCAGTTTGCATTTCCCTCGCTTAGCCCTAACCCGAGGACATGCAGCCAGGCATTTTTAGCGGGGCAGTTGGTGGGGATCCTGTCAAATGCACTGTAAATTGAAGCGGGCCGCTGCGACGCGGGTAAAGCTGCAGCAACGCGTCTCTTCACACGACGACCGGAGGACCTCAATGAACAACCAACTTTTTCTGGTAGACAGCATGATGAGATAGGAATATCAATTACACATGTTTATCATACCTCCGTCTGCTTGACGCCCAAGCTGTCCAAGTTCCTTGATTAGGGGGGTTCTAGGAGGCAAGCGCAGACCGTTCGTTGCCCATATTGTTTCTGACTTGTTGAAATTCAGCATCGTATCGTCAACGTCGTCGAGCAGACCATCAATTCGACACAATGTCCAAGAACGCTGCAATCACCAGCTTCTTCAAGCCGGCCCCACGGGACTCGCAGGACTCTCAAGGGAGTTCCCAGGTTCCACCATCTTCCATCCCACGATCGCCCATCAGGGCAGCAATGTCGCCCTTCAAGATGCCTGGAACGCCAGGAACGGGTTTCAAATCATCACTCCCCATCAGGTCTCCTGTACCGCCTCCATATTCGCCCTTGGCACTCTTATCATCACCGCCAAAGCCCCGATCTGCTCTAAAGCCGGTACGAGATCGAAATGCCGTCATTGGAGCATCCGACGAAGAAGAAGACGGCGACAGCGACTTCATATCATCGGACGATGACCTGCCTGATCTCTTCGCCGAACCAAAGACCGAAGTACCCATGTCCATTCGAGCAAACGGAAGCCCGACGAAAGGGCCGGCTTCAAAGCGGGTGGCTTCAGCCAAATTTGTGATTTCACCCATCAACTTCAACAAGAAGCACAAGTTCGACATGAAGGCCATCTTGAAGCATACCGAGGCAGACAAGAAGATCGCAGAAAGCGAAAAGCGAGTTGAGGCGCTCATGGCCGAGGATGAAGAAGAGGACAACAAACGAGCCGAGCCACTTGCTGTCAAGAAGGAGGGGACCACGCTCCATGACGACATGCTGGATATGTTATCCGAAGCGGAGGACAGTCAGGAGGAGACCAAGAAGGAGAAGCTGCTGAGGGCCGTCAAGAGGACGGAAGCCACAAGTCAGCGTAAACAATGGTACTTTTTTGACGAGAACCGTGGGCACAACGTGGTCGACGATCTGTCCATAGGCTTCCGGAACAAGTTTCCCCAGCACGCAGCCACCGGTGTGTGGAAAATCCTGGCGGCACAAAAGGGGAGAACGGATCTCCTCGAGCGCGGAGTTCCGTACCATCTCCAGTGCAAACTTCGGAACCTACCCGACGAGATCTTTGTCTGGATCGTGGACGAACTACCCTTCGTCAAGACCCGGAGGTTACGAGAAGCCAACCTCCGACTTCTAGGGATATGTCTCGAGCAAGCAGGCCGACTCCTCACACCTGACCGTATCACCCAGTTATTCCGCACCATCGGCACACCCAAGCGATGTCTCGAGACGCCATCACCATCAGAAGATGGCACTGAGCAAACGAACCCCGATCCCGGCCGTCCCTACAACATCGACCGGGACTGGACCCCGCTCCGCACCGTCCTGCGCATCCTATCCCAGACCGCCCACGGCCTATCCATTGACTCCCTCACCCGCTCCACGACCCTCCTCCTCCGCCTTGGCATGGACGCCCTCATCCGGCGCAACCCGGACCTGCACTCCACCTTCCGACACACCCTCATCAACCTCGTCGAAGCCGTGCCCTCTTCCTCTTTCGACGCCTTCTGCCTCTCCTGCTGCAGCACTCTCTACGCCCTAACCACGGACTCCTCCCTCCTCTCCGACGCCCTCCGTGCCCTGCCCTACCAAACCCCGAAACTAGTCAACCTCCGCCGCCGCCTAGCGCTCGCCTTCCTCTTCGCCTCCGCTTCCACCTCTCTCTTACCCTCCCCCCCTTCTCTATCATCATCATCATCATCATCATCATCCAAGATCCCCTCCCCCATCCAAGAATTTTCCCTGCACGACCCTTCCCAGACTTTTTCCTTCCCTTTACTTCTCTCCTACTTCGACATCTCTCCCCACTTTCAGACGACCCGTTCTTCCTCGTCCGCCGATTACTTTGTTCTCTCGGCCCAAACCGACCTATTACGCATATCCATCGGCGACGGCAATCCCCCTCCCCCTCCCCCTTTTTCTTCTTCTTATGCTGTAGCCCATCATGATCCTTCTCCCCTTCCGTTCCCTAAATCCACGACATCATCATCCGCCTCCACAACAAACCCCGAAACCAAATCGCATAACCGCCAAATCGACCTCCTCACCCGCCGCATCCGCACTCTCTGGTCCAACATCCACGACCAATCCGGGTCGACAGCAGAGATCTCTCGGTTGGAAGCCAAAGTCAAGCTGAAAGACCTGGAGAGAAAATTGGAGTGGGCGGTTAGGACGAAGCCGGTGAGTAGGACGAATATCTTTGGGATTCGGTCTGCGGGAGGAGGAGGAGGAGCAGCAGGAGGAGGAGGGTCGGGGATCTTGGGTGGTGGTGTTGGTGGGTATGGGGAGGACGTGGATAGTGAGGAAGAGAGGGAACGGGAACAGAAGAGGGAGAGGGAGGGGGTGGAGCAGAAGATGTTTATGAGGAGGTTTTTGGGGAAGACGACGGCGGGGGCAGCGAAGACTGAGGCTTGAATGGGGCTTTCATGGGGATATATGGATATGTTTGGTGTTTGAGCGTTATGAGGAACTGTGTTTACTGGTGTTGGACTGTGGGGGTTATCAGGTACGGTGTACACTCGGCTTGCTTTGTCTGTTTGTGTCTCTGCGGTATATGGAATGAAAGGCAATATAGAAGCGTTGAGATATAGGTAGATGGTTGGCCATGTTAGGAAACGTAGAGTTCTCGAGATTGGCAAAAATCTGGTACTGAAAACAAGAAGCACACAACTCATCAACCCAACAGCATGGAACAACAGTTGCTTTGCGATAAACAAGGGGGGAAACAGCAAAAACAACTGTATCATACAAAACTCTAACATGATAATCCTCCATGCATGCATTCGTCCATCATCCATAACCACCTGCTATACTCCTTAGCCAACTCTTTCTTGGCTTAACTTGTCTTTGTCATTGAACATCATCAAACAACGAGTAGTAAGCACCCAACGCTCTGGCGTGAACCTCTGGCTTTCGTCTCCCTCTGGAGATTCGTCCACAGGACTCCTTTCTCCCTTTCCTGAACATCAGGTGCCGTAACTTTGTTGTAGGCCTTCTGCGCATTCGCAGCCTTCCAAAGAAGCGGTGCATTTAATCGAAGAACTTGCGGTTGGGGTTTTCACCGAACAGAGCCTTGCGCATCGCCGGGAGAGCGCTGTCCTTAAGCAGGGTCAACCTGGCCTCGAAGGTGTTGTCGATATCGATCTTGCCGTTTCCGCCAACGATGATGATGCCACCGGCGCTATATATCAAATCGTGTTAGCATCATTTCTTCTTCTTCTTCTCCTTCCTCTTCACCACTGCCCGAAGCATGGTGTGTGTATGTATAACCTACCTCCCCTCAGGAACGGGATTCTCCGCATCAATCGTCGCCCTGACATCCTTATCCGTCTTGTGCTTGTACTCGGCGCTCGCCCACCCCGCCGCCTCCCTGACCGCGTCATAATCCGCCTGGCGCGCGCGGATCACCAGCTCCGGCTCGTTCATGGCGTAGAAGCCCTCCAGGATCAAGTCCCTGAGGATGTCCTTGTAGCGGCCCAGGTCGTGGGTAGCTTGGCCGAGCTGGGCGCTGGCGGCCTCAAAGATCTCGTCCAGCAGCTCCTGGCGCGCGCCCAGGACCCGGAGTCGCGTCTTGTTGGCCATTGTCGACCGCGTGATCTGCTGCGACATCTGGGCCTGCTTGAACTTTTTGGCGTAGGCCGAGTCGATGGCGTCCGTCTCCTGGCGGACCAGCTTGGACTTTTCAATGGCGAATTCCTCGTCGGCCTTGATCTGGATCTCGCGCGCCTTTTCCTCGGCTTCTTGCTTGATGAAGGCCGTCATCTTGCGGAGCTCTTGTCCGACCTGGTTGGTGGGCAGTGTGGTTCTTTGGTTAGCTGGCATTGCATGGTTGGTTATCTGGACTGGACGGAATTGGCTCTACCTGATCGTCGGACAAGGCGTGAACTTGTGACATTTTGGCGGGTGTTTATGAAGGCACTCTAGGGAATAGGTGTTGTGGTGGTGGTGGTGGGGGTGGTGGTTCGGGTCTCCGAAGGACGGTGATCGAGGATGTGATGTCGTCGTGGTCCTTGGGAGGGGAAGCTCGTGGCGGGCAGAGCTAACTTGGATCGATGTCGGGTGTAAGACGACGAAGACGTGAGGTGTAGGGACGCTGAGGGGATGGCGATCTATCAAAAGTAGAAAACAGGGCTCAAAGGGTATCGCGGTTGCTGGTAGTATTTAGTTTAGACGGAGGATATCGTCAAACGACGTCGACTAATGGATGTTGTTGTTGCCCGTTGACGCAGCTTGGGGAAGGGTGATGATGTTGGCTTGGCACTGGGATGGAGCCAGAAAGGCTGGCAACAGCAACCCCGGCCCTGGGCAACGAACCTCCAGCTAGGCGGTGGTGGTGGTGGACATCACTCAGCCAACTGAACTCACGACGTCGCTCGCTGTCGCCCCGCTGCAGTAGGTGCAGAGCTTCGAACCGGCCCGGGGACCTGGAGAACAGCACTCACTCCAGGCATTACCTGCGATCGATAACTGCGGTAGGCACCAGCCACAGTAAGCCCCACCTAGGTCCCGTCGGCTTGGGGACCTCGAACAAAGACATCAGCCTCAGTCCTATCGGTAGTGTACTGCGTAGAGGTACCTCTACCAGATGCCTGCCGCTGAGGATGAATTCCATGCCCGGGTTCGTCACCAGCCCGATACCTATGATCACCGTCGGCTAGCTGCAAGTGATGTCCGGCTGGCAAAGCGACCGACACCCACCCGACAAGGAGAGGGAAGTGGAACCAAGGCCCCATGTCAGCTGATTGGACCCACCCGCCACCCTCAGGGCACCGCGGTCAATCACTCGCAGCGAACGGAGTCTTCCCCTTACCTAGCGTTCACCCATAGCGCATTGACGGCCTGTACATGTGCTGCACACACCACGCTGCTGCACTGCGCGTGAGAGCGTCGCGCTAGACCGGGCACCTCCAGGGCACCAGCCCGTCTCGGTGACGGGACCCATGTCAGCCAGGCAGTTCCACGCATCTTTCCTTGTTGCAGAACGAAAGAAAGGAAGAAAAGCTGAACAGAGTTTGGGTCCATGGAGGTCAGGTCGACGACGCCCGGTGGTTTTGTTCCTTCCACTTATTCATGCGTCAAGGCCCGATCCATACCTCCTCTCCATACCTCTACGTATAGTGGACGCCCGGTTCAAGTTGCCCTGTCTTTTTCCAAGAGTTTTAATGTTTCGTCTCTCGAATACACAATTTCCCCCCTTCCACTACCTACCTCTACTTTCCTTCAACCACTCCTTTCGTGATAGCAGCCCAGTGAACTATCCGAGATTTGCACTCCAGTTTACAAGAGCCGGAGGTCGATAGCCATTTGCCGTGCCTGCCCTGCGGCCGCATATTACTGAGGTGCCCTGCACATCAGGGAGAAAGACCCTATAACAGTCTACTGTCCAGCGAGGTCCTCACGGCGGCAACAACCTACCTACTAATCAACCAACCTTATCGTCGGCCTCTATCTAACCCACCTACCTACATACTACAATACCTCGCTACGTACCTTGATACCTACGACCGACTCGACCGTTTGCGACACACCTAGGTCTAGACTACCTACCTACACTACCGAATTTAACCGGACGACAAACTCTCGCCCCCTTCACCGATTGTGCACCTGATCCGGGTCTTCGTGCGCTCGAATTACGTCGATTCCAATCATACCCAACAACGCTCTTTGTTGTGGTACATATTCTCCCTTCGACCCAACAACTCGCCCGGACAACCTCAGCGACCGAGCGGCATCTCCGTCACAAGATTCCCCCCATGCAAACATAGCATAATAGCCGCCACCTCGCCCCTCTGGCTGTCTGGGTGAAAGATAGCCTCAAACCACAGGCGCCATGGGGCTCATTGGCGGCATCTCTCCTGGAGGGAGCATTGCTGTAAGCTAAACACTCGACACACTTCCATCTTTCCACCGACAACTCCTAATTTTCCATGCGCAACTACAGCTCGGAATAATAGTCGGCTTGATATCCACGAGCGTGCAAAGTCTCGGCCTCACGCTGCAACGAAAGTCCCACATACTCGAAGATGAAAAGGGGCCCTACGATGTTCGACGACCGCCATACCGGAGAAGGAGGTGGCAGGTAGGAATGGGCATGTTCATCATCTCCAACGTCATCGGGAGCTCGGTTCAGATATCGGTCCTCCCTTTACCGGTTCTCTCGACACTCCAAGCGTCCGGCTTGGTCTTCAACTCGATATGCGCCACTCTCATTCTTGGAGAACCCTTCACGAGGTGGTCACTATGGGGAACCTTGCTGGTCTGCAGCGGCGCAGTCTTGATCGCCATTTTCGGGGCTATTCCCTCGCCGGCGCACAAACTGAGCGAGCTGCTGGAGTTGTTGGGACGAGGTCCGTTCGTGGCATGGATGGTGTTTCAGGGATTCCTTGTGCTGGGCATTGCGATCGCGACAGATGTGGTTAGCCACTTTACGAAGCTGATGCAGCATTCCCGGTTCCGCCTGGCTCGGGGTTTTGCATACGGATGCATAAGTGGCATCTTGTCTGCTCACTCCCTGTTGGTGGCCAAGTCAGCCGTCGAACTGCTCGTCAAGACCATCGTGGACGGCGATAACCAGTTCGTCCACTGGCAATCCTGGGTCATTCTTCTGGCCCTCGTCACGCTCGCTCTCAGCCAACTCTACTACCTACACCGCGGCCTGAAACTGGTTTCGACCTCGGTTCTATATCCACTAATATTTTGCATCTATAACATCATCGCCATTCTAGATGGCCTAATCTACTTCGATCAGACCGAACTGATTAGCCCGCTCCAGGCGTGCCTAATCACCCTCGGCACCGTCATCCTTCTAGCCGGCGTCCTGGCACTGTCATGGCGTCTCCACGACGAACAACACACTCCCAGCGTCGGACAGTCGACACTCGCCCCAGGAATGGGCCTGGTCGAAGACACCGAAGACGAAAACGACGAAGAAGCCCTTCTCTTACGTTCCGACATTGAAGATGAAGAAGAACGCATCGGCGTTCCCTCCCCACGCTTGTACAGCTACAACACCTTCAGCGCCAGCCAATCCCGGCTCGGCGACGGCACCTCTCAAGACGGCGGGCCCGTCGTGGTGAGGGCGCAACCAAAGCGCCAGCGTTCTCTAGCCGGCCAATCGATCCGCACCCTCCCTAAGAACCGATGGACCGAATGCGCCGAAATTTGGGACGAGCTCGAAGACCGCGACACGCCACCCGACCACTCCTCCACTTCCTCCCCAGCCTTTCTCTCCAGCAGCAGGCGACGCTCCACTACTTTACCCGTCACGAATCCAAACGAGGGTACTTCCCTCCTCCACCCTCGTCGAAGGGAAGTAAGCGATAGCTACCAATTTGCGCCCAGAGCAGCCACCGATCTTGCCTCGGCCCGACGGAATTTTGGGAGACGTAGGAGGTCCACCGGGTTTCCCGGTTTCATTCCCCGCAAACCTTCAGCAACGACAGTACCACGGAAACCATCAGGTGGTGGTGGTCTGCAGGATCTAGTCAGCGGGTTTTTGAGAGCAAGGTGGTGGAAGAATAAACCCAAGACTACTCTTGGTGTGCCGGGGCTTAGGGAGGAAGCAATAGTTGCGATACATGAGGAGGAAGGGGAGGGGCTGTTAAGGGATTATCATGGCCAGGGTCAAAGTCAGGGACAGGCGCAAGGTTCGGGATCAGGGTCAGGGACACAGAGTGAGAGAGTGTCTCCAAGGAATGGGAACGCAAGGCCAGGGCCAAAAGCGTCCTCACTAGATGGCGCCCAAGGGCATGAGCGATCAACAACAACAGGAGGGACAAGGAATAATGGGAGGCGCAAGGTTGATGACGCACCGGTATAGTAGACCGTGTGTCTTGCTTGGGTTGGCGCTTGGGGTTTGGCTTTATATCATTCTTCTTCTATTAGGTAGCAATGGAGGCTCGGGGGGGATGCATATCAATAAATATACCAGCATTAGACGCGCGTTTTGCTACAAGTGTTGTACCTGCTGTATCAGCTGTACCTGCTTGAGTATGTGATTATCCCTTCTCCGTGTCGTTTTCACGCTGATATTGTGTGAATGCGGATTTCAACTAGACGCCTCAAATACTGTTGATTCGACCAAAGGCTGGATAAAACTTCACGATCAAGATCAATCAGTTTACACGAGCCACTTCTATAGTTAATGGCTAGTGTGAGTGCTCTTGAACTCAAGAATGATCAATCGTTAGCATCCAAGCAGGAGAACCACCCGTGGAATCTCTATACTTAAAAAAAAAAAAATTTAAAAAAAAAAAAAAAATTTCATCAACACACGAAAAACGTCTTACAAGTACGGGCCCTTCGATAGATGTTGCGGAAGATAATGAAAGAAAGGGGTTAGCTGATTTGGAAGTTGTATAATAGCCTTTGCTCAGGTCGGTGCTACTAGCTGACAACTGAATAGGGCTTTCATTGACCGCGAATTACTGCCCGAGTTGGTGTTACCGATGGTGTATACGTTGGTATACATGTTGAAGTTACCGTTCGTAAGCCCATACGTATCGTACCTATGTATGTCCACTGGCAAGTCCGGTAGACCCGTTCAGGCGCGCTCTTTCACCGTCGTACCGGACCCTAATCCCTATAGACCCGACGGTTCTGCTGTCCATCTACGCATTCGTCTTCGCCGCTGTAGGGAAATTGTTGATGTTCGTCAATGAAATGATGGCGCCCGATGATGCTTGTCCTTCCGAATGTCTTGAGTATCGTGACTGGAGGAAAGTCTATATCCTTGTTCTCCTGATCCTCTCTCACGGGTACCGATACTATTGTGTGTCGTACAATTCTAGGTATTAAACTTCCACTTTTCGAGTCGGTGAATCGGGCACGCTCGCTATCTTGAGGAGTCTCTTTGCACATTCGCGTTTTAACTCTTTTCTGATGAATGGGTGTTGAAAAGCGGTAGAGCTGTCTTGATCAAGTCTACATGTAGGTACCAGTCCTGAAACTCAGTGGGTGATTGGGAAAGTCGAAAACGAACTTGACTTGACAAGAACGCAGGTGGATAGGTAGCCATGTAAAACATAAAGACCGTGCCATCTCTGACCGGCAGCTTTTTGTGGTATGTATTCGAGATAAGAGTACATACATCTTTGGTGGACCCACTTCGAAGACAACAACATCTTCACAACCACACACGACGGCCACTCGAGATCTTTTGACTAAATCCGCGTGATATAAAGGTTAACTACCTGTTAAAACACTTGCTAGATGATCAAAAAATATCTTGAGAGGCTTTGCGACTTACATTTCTTTTCATTCATAGTATCTCACTGAACAAAGGTTATCTGCAATATCAACTGTCAAGTCAACTCAAGGGCTAGATGAATCCGCATTTTTGATCTCTTGGAATACTCTTCTGGGAAAAATCCTTGGTGAGCAAACGTGGAAAAAGGTTTCAGTCTTTGAATCTTTCCGTCATCATTCATGTCGACGCCGGTAGATTCCAACCCTCAGGCTCATTCTCCAAAGTAAGAGCCAGGCAGGGCAGGGCGCACGCGGAATTTATCACATATCTAAGAGGCCGTTTTTGTAGCAATCTAGTAAGCGGATTCAGCAATTTCTCCCTTTGGTAAGCAGTAATCGCAGAGGCTCTTCTTCTCGCCCTTTGCCGCACAAATTGTTTGATTGAAGTTGCGCCCCTTTCTTCTTGCAATGTTCATCTCAGTTCAGGTTTGGCGAGACGGTTTTGCAGCAGATGTCATTCACGGATTTCAGTTGCTTCTGACACGAAGACAAAACCCCTTCCTCTTCTTCCCTCCCTCTCTCTCTCTTCTCTCTTTTTCCCTCTCTCCTCTCCTCCAGCTGTTGCTCAATCTCCCAACATCACCATCCTCCTAGTTTCGTCGCCTGCCCTTCCTAACGCGATCAGATACCTCGCCTAACGCCCTCCTGTCACCACGCCGAGACCACTCAGAAGGGCACCACTAATAACATGGCCGCCCAGCATCGAGAGCGATGCACCATTCCCTGCATCATCTGTTTCAATGGACAACGCGAGTGCTTGACAAAACCCGGACGCACAGCTTGTGTGCAGTGTCACAACGGTGACAAGCGGTGCGATTGCTCCTCTTCTTCTGACGCATCGGCTCACAGCCGTCCCCAAGTTCGTGCTGTACTAGGTATAATTCCCAACGCTGGTGCGTCACCGAAGTAGTTGAAGGCGTTCTGTTGATATTCCCGTGCGTCAGTTGGGTTTCCCAGTCAACGAGGTACGTTTGTTTTCTCTGAGACTAGGTGATTGTGTGGTTGCCTCAACTTGCAGTCACGTTGTCCTTCGCCTCAAGAAACAGAAGCAGAGGAAAAAGAGAAAAGACATATAATGGTCTTATACATGCTAACTATTTACATCGTCTACCCCGTGGGTATGCAGTGCTGCTTCTGTTTATAGTCAGTGGGAAAAACCGTACCTCTTGGCCGGGTAAAAACCCTCCGCTTCGTTACCGCAACGGTGCCCTATCGGCGCCGCGCCTTCCTTGTTTGACTTCCACTCGGTATAACCTAACCGTCGTTTCCGAGGCTTTGACTTTTACTCTTGTATATAGTCCCTCCGGCCCGGCCCCGTCCCGTCCCCGATCTACTGCCGCGCTCGCCGCCGTCTGCCTCTTCCATCATCAACCTTTCATCCCATCTTTCCTCTAATAACGTTGTGGCGGCCCACCCCCAATCCATACTTAAAGAAAATCTCAACCCGCTCTCTTCCCTCTTTCCCCTCTTTCCTCCTTACACCTCACCGCGTCTACTGCCGTATAGCTATTGTCCGCCTGCCCTCCGACTCCCATTCGAGGAGTACCTCGAAAAAAATGGCAGAAATTCTAGTAATGCAACATCCTCTCCTACCGATAGCGATGCGCAGTAGATAGCCTGCCTCTGGCTCATCCCTAGGTTTAGTTAGTAGTTAACTCTTCCTCCCCGGGATATAGTCGACCTAGTCCCCGGCGCCACACCGGGCCCGCCGTAGTCCCATCTCGGCTAGCAGTCGGTGCCGTGGCCGAGGCCTGGTCCCGCACACATTAACACTGGTCTGAACTTCCCAGTAAAGAGAAAAACAAAGGTCACGTTCCCGTCCTGAGTAAGCGCCCAGCTGATATTCCATGACCGTGACCGGGGTCTGCGGGTGGCTGCTGGGCCCGCACTTCCTTTTCCCCGTCCGATGCGCTCCAGTCGTCCGTAGACTGGACTTCGATATGCACTGGGTAAGCGGCCGGTTCACCCACCAGTGTCTGGGAAGGCTGCTCTGCGGGCTGGACCGCGGGTTGGACCGCGGGCGCCTCGATCAGCTTCTCGAACCCCATCCAGGGCCCGGCCCTTATGAATGCGTACCTAGCGACGCCCTCCGCATGTCTCCATGACGCAAGTGCACCTATGGCCACCCGGAAGTGAACCGATGGCGTCGTTCGCATCGTCGAAGACCAGACTGTCCCATGCAGCCTGGGCGGTCTGTTTAGTCTCGAAGAATGGATCAGTCGTGAAACCGGGCCTAAACCCTCGACTGACAGCCGCATTGACAGGAAAGTCAACCACGTGCAGCTGTTAGCACACTACCTATTTCTAGCCGGCCAGAACAAGCGCTGAATTAATAGTGACACATCTCGTTGATTGAACCGTCATATAAGGCCTAACATTTACTCAATGTCACTCAATGGTTTTAGACCAAAAACATTATCTGTATTTAAATGATTGCTTGAATGAGGATTACTAGATAGCCGTGCTCCTATCGAGGGTTGCATTGATATCATTGTTGTTGTTTGAACAGCGTCTACAGTTTCTCGAGAGCATGATTTCCAGCTAGGTAGTGCACCTAACCCCAGTCAACGTCGAACATTTATTTCGGTCCTTTTTGCTACCCACGCAGGTACTTACCCTAAGTACCTACCTTTATGTACTCCCAGAGGACAGCGATCTTCCCATGTTATTCAAACAGCAAGCCGTGCTTGCAGGATATGTTTTCCCGGACAGTGAGGTCCTTCCATCCCTATTACTCCTTCCCTTTATCAGGTAATCTCTTGCCTTTTTGTTTTTTCCCCCCCTGGTCATGTTCCTTTCCTCACCCACTCTTTCGGCAGCCACCTGTTGCTGGGCAGTTTGTCGTATGTCTGCTCTGCAGGTAGGTACCAAGCTGGAAATTACAGGTGATGTCTTGGTCCAAGAGTTTCTATTGCCTTCTTGTCGGTCTTCCATTCGAGTTTCTTTCTGTTGCGTTCCCCCCCTTTGTGCGGGAGTATCTGCAGCCTTTTTGTTGGTCTTCCGTTGACAGCCCTTCTATTAAGTGTAGGGCCTTTGTGCTCGCGAGCGAGCTCGCCTAGGTCGGTACGCAGGCTGCTAAACGCGAACGCTCCGCAGGCCATGTTAACACGAGAGCAATGGTTCTGATCACCCTCGACGGTGATGTCGAACGCGGATGGGTCGCAATCGCTGTCGAGGGTTTGGGGAGTTTCGGTAGGTAGTTTCCTTCTTGTTCCTTCCTTCTGCGCTTTTCCTTCTGCGCTTTTCCTTTCGCTGCTTATGGGAAGCAAGCGGGAAGGATTGCCGACTGGTTCAGCGGTTTTGGTTCAGTTCTTCAAGCTGTCGAATCATGGCCTGTAGTCTCCGTAGCTGGATATTATCTTGATGTTCGATGATTTCTAAGACTAGAAGTAGGCAATATCTGGTTAGCACACCCGTGACTGTCAGCTCCATTCGTCAAGAAGGGCTGGCTTACCAAATTCTCGAAGTTTGTCCTGATACGCGGGTGAATAGCTTTTAACTTCTTCCCAACGTATCTTGTCGTAGAATTCAGGGTAGATATAACGGTTCTTACAGGTTTCTCTGGATCCAATTCCACGCTCGAATAGTTCCTTGATTGCCTTGGGTGAAATTCTGTCCTGTCCGCTATTACTCATTTTCAGCCCGTACACCCCAACGCAGTCTGTGTTTCGAGACCGATGCTAAAAAAAAAGGTAGATGGTAGACAAATTTGTATTTACTTGGACTGCTGTGGAAGTAGAAGAGTGCTCGTGAATCTGCGGGTAGACATTTTGCGACCTTGAGTGGTGTTTTCGAGGGCTGTTATAACTAAAGCTTTGGTCGTCAAGGCATTTGAAGCGCTCATGGTCACTTGAGCGTTCGTAATAATCAATGAAGCATTCGCGAGGGTCAAGAAGATAAGGTAGTCAGGGCCATGCTGATGTATGTTATGTTTGCTCCATACAGGTTCACAAACAGCGCCTGTTGTCAAAGAACCCAAGAAGCTAAGTAGGTATCGTGAGCAACTCACTGCTTGAAATTACCAAGTGACGAGAGCTCTCGAGGGTTTGAAACGCTGCGGGAAGGGCAGTTGGTTGAAGGGCAGTGATCGCATACAAAGATAAAGGGATGAACGTTTTCATTATAGCCACCTGCCATCCGAAAAGTGCAGCTATTCACCAACGTGACGATTTATCAGGATACCTAGGTACCTACCTATAGAAGGGCCTCCAGCTATGTGGAGACCAATAAGGGAATTGCGCCATCATCAGTGATCTCCAAGTCTACATTTTCTCTCCTAAAAGTTAGATCGATGGTCTTTACCTCTACAGTCAGTGAAGGTAGTCTTTGCATTGTGCGGTTTCGCATCAAGGACCTTTGTCGCCATGTCCGTTGTTTCCGTCTTTATTGTTGTGGGCGTTGTTGGAGACCTGATGACATTTTAGTAGAGGTACCTGATCAAAGACAAATACCGCTCGGTTTAGGTATGACAATTCTATACGACTATTTTCAGTGTTCTACTTTTATTCCCTACTTCAAGAACTGCACTACCAAACCAAATGACTCATGTATGTTGGGCGTTGAAGATCTTCAAGAGATGAATCAAACCTTGCGGACTGCTCCATCTCCTCATCAGACAACGTGTTTGTTTGCTTCCTACCTAGGTATGCTTCTCAGCTCTACAGGTATCTCTACCATGATAGAACACCAGAGAGCCATACAAAATGATTGTTCAGTTTGTGATTAATGGGCTATTCGATCCCCAGTGCGTTTGGTTCTTACATTCGGCGTAGATGATTGAGGTGGCTCGGCCGAGTAACTGACGGCTGGGTACTCCGACCCTTTATGATTGATGCTTGGGCTCTCATCTGGAATCAACAGACAAGTACCGGGGAGGGAGGGATAAGGAGTGGGGGGTCATGAACGTGTCCAGTCCTAACGAACGTCACGTAAAAGGACGCACTCAACACTCCTCTGCTGAAACCACCTCCTTCCGCACACTAGGTAGGTATGATTCACCAGGATTGACTTTCTTCAGGCACCTAAGCTAGGTATGAGAGGTTGCGATAAATTGGATTTATTTTCTTTCTTCTTTCTTTTTTCATTTTTTTCTTTTTTTCTTCAGGTTCAGGGCAATAAAGCTGGTTTGCGTGGTGCAGGCCGAAGCTAACAGACTGGATGTTGGTAGTTGTGATGGCTAGGTACACTGGTGGATATCGCCTTCGTTCGTCCAGCCCCTGCTCGGTAGGTACTAATGCATTACAAGAATGATGCATTTCTGCTACTTATAACTCCTGTTTTCTGTAGAGCAGTCAGTTGCACGCTTTACTAGCAGCTTGTCGCTCTACCAGACTATACAGCCTTGTCAGCAGCCGCTAACTGCACCTTCAATTATCCCTTCCTGGGAAGATCTCTAGTAGTAGCATGGAACAGGAAGATGCTGCGCGTGTTACCATTACTCGTGCTGATCGATCAATCAAGGACCACCATATCGTGAATCTTCGCAATCTGGTGTCGATGACAAGAAGTATACTCGGCAAAATAGGTATTCTTTTTATAACGGTATGACCTGGCTGCATAGCTCTACATGCGACGGAGTTTGAGAACCTCCAGCCCATTCCACTTTTCCTCAGTACAGCTCCACCAATTGGAACCATAATGCCTTCATATGAGAGTGATGTTTCGGTCCTCGAAATAGTTAAAGAACATGGCGGAAGTGTAGACCTCATCGCGATTCGAACAGTCACAGTCGGCATCAAACATCGCTTCGGTCCGAAAGTACCCAATTCGGCTAAAAGTATTAGGATGTCCTATAGCCTCTTTGAGAACCAGTCCATAATAGGTTGTAGAGGGTTCCCTTGCCCCCGGGTCGGGGTGATAATTGTTGTCCCGTTCGGCCAGTAGCAAGAACCACAAGGTGTCCAGCATTTCATGTCCATCCTCAATGGCATCCGGGTAAACATAAGCGTTGACTTCCTCGACCCAGATACTCCACCACCACTCCGTGGGATCCTTTGTCTTGAATTCACGCAACTTGATAGGTGTTGGTAAAGCCCAGGCCCGAATGGGGCCATGGAGAACCAAAAAGCCTGAGGCAATCGAGTCAAATTCTCCGTTTGGATAAGTTGGTATAATACCAGCACTCAAAACTTGTATTGGGCGCGGCTTCACTGGCGCGCAGTTGCATCTATGCCCCCAATAGTGCACTGGTGTGTCGACAGATGCCCATGACCAAGAGGGTGCGCGATACTCTCTTGGCCGTTGGGAAGTGACGAATTGGCCTGCTTCAGACTCTCCTGGTGGTGGACCACTAGCCCAGCAGAGCGCAGCTGGGATATCCTCCTTCCAGAGGCCGGCTAGGTACTCCTTTCCTGTCTCAAGGTGATAGACCCGGGCAACGGCAGAAAGCGCGCGCAATTTGTCTGAGGCAAAGGACGCTTCTCTTTTGGAATATTCGATAACCATGTCAATCCATAACCTTGACGACGACAGCCTATATGTGTCATGGCTGGTCATCAGCGTCTCCGGCTGTCCCTTTTCGGAGCGATTGAGTTTCGTCATGGGCTCTTTGAGTAAACCGAATTCTGGCGCGCCAACGAGCTCGGTATGCGTCCTGCACTTCCACTCCAAATGGTGAGTTCGATAGTTTAAGATGCGTGGTGAGAGCATATCCTCCTGATACGTCCACGCTCTCTGAAGAATGGGCTCTTTGCGTTTATAGAACGCGTGGGAATACATGATAACGTAGACAAACAATCTGATACTCTCACCAGAGTCGGTCGCAACCCGAATGTCAATTGCGGGGAACGTGTGGCTCCAATATCCACGTCGGTAAAGGAACCCATCGTAGATGCTTCTGGATGACGCCGCAGATATCGTGAGTGCCGCGTATTGATAAACCTTGGGCATATGGCTGACTTCTTCGCGGAGATCCTCCTGATCGTCTTGTATAATGCAGAGAGCGTCGATCCATAGGTACCTAATGGCCATACCCCGGCAAACATAAACTGCATCTTTCATGGTCTGAGGAAGAGTGTCGAGGGGAATGCGTTTCTTATGAGCCAGCTGCGTTGCTTTCGTGGTCTTCAGAGGCACATCGCCGCCCCAGACGTAACTCAGGGCACACCATCCATGACGTTCACTCTTATCCATGTCCGACGTCTCAACAAGCTTCACATCATGTTCAGTGACATCCAGTAGTCTGGTGGGAATAAAAGAGGAAGGTGGCATGCGGCAAAGAGGATGGGATAAGGAGCATTTGGACATCAAATCCCGACATATTTCGAACGAATCCGAAGCGCCTGGGTCGCAAGTCAAATTTTCTCTTGGCTCATCTAGTAGTTATTAGTAAAGAACTTGAAGTAAGCGAGTAGATAAAGGTCGAAACTGTCGACCGACGACCGATTATCATAAGCAACTTACCCGGCTGAACAATGGTTCTTAGCCACTCTCTTTCTGGAAGGAGGTCGCAATCCTTTCGGAAGAGAAGTGAGAGATCCCCATACCCATGTGCATCCATGTACAGACCTTTGCCCCAAAAGGCTGCCTGAACCATTCCGGAGCCATCAATATCAAAGAGATGGAGAAGCTCCGAGTCCTTCATATTCTCATCCCTACACTCCTCAAACCAAACCCGAAACAGGGGGCAGTTGTCATCCATCGCCTGCCGTATATCAGATATTTTCTCGGCTATACAGAGACGGATAAAAGGGTTACCCTCCGTACGGACATCAAACGCTCTGTCGATGGCAACAGAAAATGGCTTCGGGTTTTCGACTACCTTGATTCGGCGGCAGTGGCGGCAGGAATGAGGAATGTCGTAACTCTGCCTCCACGTTTGGTGATCATACCTCCATGCCCAGGTGTAGTTCTTCGCGGCTATTTGCTCTTTAGGTGATTCTCTGGTAGTTTCTTCCTTGCCGCCAGCGAGGTCGTTTTTGTCCGATTTCTGGTAGCTCAACTGAGGGGCATCCATCGTCGACGTCTGCTCAGATCGACGGCAAATCAATGTGAGTGATCGGGCGAGAGACGCTCACAAAGTCAAGCGAATCCAGTCGCCTCAAGAATAGATGGATAGCAACAAATTTTGTTGCTGGCGGGAGAGGTGAGGACAGATCATATTGACGGTATGTAGTCGGAATAAGAAAATGGTGGCGGTGGTTAGCGCCGTTCAAGAAGTCCTAGAATCTCTTGGTCGATGTCGCCATCACCCCCTGTCTGCTAGCTTCATTGATATCACAGCCAATCACCAGAGTAATACGTGGTAGTACGTGAAGTGATCACAACGTCGAGTCGCGGGAAGTACAAAATCGAGGCGAATGGATGCCTCGCAAGAAAATTGGAAAATCCCGAAAACATCAACCGGACATTCAAAAGTAGTTCGCGAATCGACACGCATAGAAGCATGAAGGAACCAATTATCCATTATTTTAAGGGTAAGCAATTTGAGTTATTGAGTGTTGGGATGATAAAGGTAGGAACAACCGGCGAAAACCAGGCATAAATCACAAGCCAACAACCACGTGAGAAACTCGCGCCCCAACGACGAATCATCCACTGCGACTGATATCGTAACAGAAACTTTCCAACTCCTTTTCTGTTTTCTTCTTCTTCTTCTTCATTCCTCATCATCATAATTCGTGCCTTTCGGATCATTCAATCCAGAAAAATCACGACAATTTACGGAAGACGGTCGTACAAATATTCACTCAGGAGTCGAAGGCATCTTGTGTCACCTCTCTCGTCACACATCATAATTCATATCGGCTAGTACCCTAACTACCTCTCCACATAGACCTCATCACTCATTGCCGCAAGCACTATCACTCGGTTCGCAGATAGCAGACAAACAAGATTTCCTGCCCTCATCCCAGCCCAGAGAGGACAATCTTACAAGTCAAAGCTATCCTCGCCCATAGACCGGCAGCAAGTCCAGCAATCACCATGCTGCTTTGAGTGCTATTACACCGAGAGGGAACAAAGTTAGTCAAAAGTCTGCACAAATCACACACACACACACACACTCAAAAAGAAAAACAAAGAACAACAAAGAGAAAAAGAAAGAAAAAAAAAACCATTATCAAGAGCCTGGGAAGCAACCAAACCGACGGAAAAAAAAGTAAAAAAAAAAAGAGAGAGAAAAGAGAAAAAAAACTCACCCATCCCTCAGGACAATTCGGGCTTTCACTAAAACACGCCATCCAGCAAATCTCGGGCTTTTCATCATCGTCATCGCCGTTCTTCAGTAATCTAGCAAAGTCATTTTTCTTCGTAGACTGCTGCTGCTGCTGGTGGTGGTGCTTGTTGTTGGTCTTGGGGACGACTTCGATGCGGAGACTGAACACAGACAGCAGGGAAATGCGACGTGGTGTTAGTTGAATGGTACACATATGCAGTAAGTAGGTTTACATAAACGAAATGCAGATTATGCAAGCTGTGTTGTGAAGTTGAAAAGAGTGGAGGGGAATCAAACAACTGCAATGTCTGATAGGGCAGCGATTTCGAGTACTCCAAACTGCTGCTGCGGGGGGGAAAGTGTGTAGTAGGTAGGCAGATGGGGTAGTAGGTAGTGAGCGACATCATATGAAAGTGAGATGAGGTGAGGTGACTAACGTGATGTCCTCCTCAAACACTTGAGAGGGAGTCTTGGCCGAGTTCTTGGTAGACCAAGGCATGGCGGCGATGGTGGTGATGCCGGTGGCGAGGAGGAGGGCGGTGGTGGTTGTGAACTTCATTTTTGTTCAAAGATTGATTGATTGATTGATGTGGATGATGATGGTTATTGTTCTGATGCTGTTGATGACTTGTTGCTGATGATTGCACACTTTTGAAGTGGGAGAGACGAAGGCCATTATATACATTTCTTTCTCCCACTTCAAAGCCTACAACTCCATTCAAGTTGTCACTTCGACGTCCTATGGTATAGCTCCATTGAATCACAACTCTGAGAAACACATTGGAATTGGCGCAAGCAAGATGCTGCGCCAAATCAGTTCTCCACCTCAACAAGACGCCCATCTCCAATGATCCAGCCAGACGATCGCCAACGCAACCTACTCGCAGCTTTCGAAGACCAAAAGTTCCAGTTAGAGGATGACAACATCGATCTTGGACTCTGGTTCAAGGTCTTAGCTTAGGCGCAAGTGGTTCCGAATCTGGCGCGAACCAATGAGGCTCTTGGATGGAGTCTCACAGACGAAACTCCAAAAAGCCATTTGTGCTCATATTTACGTTTCTCTTGTGTCTTTGTTTTGGGTTTCATTGGCTTTGGTTTCTCTTGTCGAACCGTGGCGACCTGTGAATTCTCGTCCAGCCTTCGGATCCGATTTGCGACGGGTTACTGGTACCCGATGTGTGGATGTTGATGAGGCAAGTTCTCGTCTATTGCAGGATAGGATCAACAAAGGAATAGGGGTGAAGATGGACGAGTGCATTTTTCTGAAAGGGCATAGGTGGTTCTGACACATGTGCTTGGATTAGTGGTTGAACAGATGTATTATTGTATTGGTATGTTGCCTTTAATGCCTCTCTTTGACCCGAACTCCAAAAAGATGAAAAGGAAAAAAAAAAGCACTGAAGTGTGCTATGAGAGGTCCAGGAAAGAAGTTTCCATATCGCACACAGGTGTGATAATAACCTCGCTATCCGAACTTCCTGCTTCCCCTTCCAGCTTCTCCTCGTCCTCCTCGTCCGAAATAATATCCTCACCCATCAGGGTTGACCCAGTTTCCATATCGTCTGAATCTTCCAGCCCCGTTACCAAATGGGGGCACACCCCCTCCCCAACTGCCGATCGATGACTATGAAACGAGCATTGCCTAAACCCAAACAAGCGCTCCTCGCTCCTCAGATTGTTCATCGGTAGCCTCAACTGGGGGTTCTTAATCCGTAGATCCGCCTTGCTCGCCGCCATCTTGTTAAAGTGCATGCCATAATCCGCTTTGAGTTTCGGAAACACAGCAAACAGCTTCTCGAACTCACTTGACGTGCCGTCCCCGCCGTGCAGCGTCCAGGCCAGCATTGCCACGGCCCATTTGCGCAGCCTGACTGCGTTCTCGAGGGAACAATCCCCGTACAGAAAGGTGATAAACCCCGGCGACATGTCCCAATCGCAGCGGAGGTATAAATCTTGTATGGCGTCCATCGAGTCGTCTTGCAAAGCGGGGAGATCGATTACCTCGGCGAAGAGATGCAGACGAACCAGGTTCCAGCGAAGGGCCCGCCGTTCACTGTCGGTTGTTTCCGCATGTCTGGTCGTTCCCATTCGGGACGGGGAGTGTCGAGCAGGAGATATTCGGCTAGGGGAGGAGGTGGGGGAGTATCGATCTCTCGAGGCCTTTTCTACGGCGCTGTCGACGTATGCTTGAAAGGCGCGACGGTCGTAAAGCCAGACAATGAATAGTTCGAATACTTCGGGGGATTCTTCGGGGAGCCAGAGGACCGAGTCTTCGGATTCGGATTTGGTCGTTTTGCTTTCTTGCTGGGCGGTTTCGATGTGGTTGCGGAAGAAGACGCTGGTTGTGCAAAGAAGCTTCTTGTGCATTCGAAAGTCGCGTTGTTCTTTGCCCACGAGCACTTGGACCATTTCAGATCCCAGCCGCCTGTTGAAGTTAGAAAACGGGTTTGTCTTGACACATGGAAATAGTTAGGCAGCCGGCAACTTACGACCTGGAGGATCTCCTTGTGTTTATTTTGGGAGACATGACTGATGACTTTTTTCACTGAACGATGGTTGCCAAAGAAAGACTTGTTGATTACCGGACAGCTGAGTATGTATGTATACCTCTACAGAGAAGTCGTATTCGAAAAACATGCCCGGTCGTCCTCCATGACACTCAACTCACGGAGCCGCGATCCGGCGTTCCATGCTTCGAAACATTGGTTAAACCACTTTGGAGATGCAAACAATAACCGGGAACAGGAAAAGAAACGTGAAGGAGGCAGTGCCGGCTTGATAAGAATCTTGTGGTTCAAGATGTTGACCGAGTATGGTTACATTGCCAAGGTCGTGTTCGTTCCATGTTGATTTTGGATGTTTCGTTTCATGTTGCTAGCAGGGCACGATCCTGAAATGGAAGAGAGAAGCCCTGAAGGAGACGCTGTTCACGCCAAAGACGGAGCCTTGACCCTGCCGGCACCAACCGAGACCCCCGCATTTTGGGACGATGGATCCACTGCGGATGTCAGGGCGAGTCCAGGGGAGGTGATCCCTGAAACGATCCCCTAGCTGCCCCTGTTCTAGGCTCAGAATCCACCGCACTGTCCGTCTGGGTTTTCGCCCCGGCTTTTCGAGTCCTCGACCTAAATCGACCTGTACCTACCTACCTACCTATCTGAGGAAACAAGGCACACGACCTTTGGTAATTCAGAAAATGTTGGATCAAGCATCCAGAATGTTGAATTACATACGCAACTGCTGCTCTGTCCGATAGACGTCGAAACAAGCTTGTTGAGCTTGTTGGTAGGTAGGTAGTAAGCACTAACTGAAGCAATAGCCTTGTTGGTGTGTACACTAAAAGACAAAGAAGTGGCGGCGGCAAGGGACGAACAAGGGTACCTGTGCGTAGGTAGGGATGGCAAGAGAGAAGAGACCAGACCAACCGAGCGGCATCGGACAAAGGCGGGGAATGGTCACAGCTTGAGACATACAGTAACACAGCTCAGGGTTAGGGTCAATTGTGCCCCTCACCTTCTGACTCACCCCACTTTATATGTCGCGATTGGGGTTTCGTCTGTTTGCGGCTCCGAGTTCATTATCTTTTGTCGTCCAGCAGCCCAGCGACAGCAGGACATCAACCACACAGAACAGCAAAAATGGCCAGCAAAAACGGACCAGTTCTGCCCCAGCCGGGCAAGGAGAACATCCTCATCACCAGTGCCCTGCCCTACGTCAACAACGTCCCCCATCTGGGCAACATCATTGGTAGCGTTCTGGTATGTGTTGATAGGCTTCAGTTCTCTCGCTTCTCTGTCCCGTCCGCAGCCATGCCCTGCGCCCACTACCACATGCGCTGCTTTTGCGCTTCCCGTCCCTGTCCTGCCGCTCCGCGCATATGCCCCGCCCTGTCACCTTGTCCATCTACCAACTCTCCATCTTGTCCGGCCTCTTCCACTACCTAATCTTGTCGCTGACCCAACCCTCGCCAGTCTGCCGATGTCTTCGCTCGCTTCTGCCGCGCCCGTGGCCTGCCCACCCTCTACATCTGCGGTTCCGACGAGTATGGCACTGCCACCGAGACCAAGGCTCTGTCCGAGGGCGTAGACCCCGCGACTCTTTGCGCAAAGTACCACGCCCTTCACAAGGATGTCTACGACTGGTTCCGCATCAGCTTCGACAAGTTCGGCCGCACTCCCACCGACGAGCACACTGGCATCACCCAGGAGATTTTCGCCCAGCTCTGGAAGAATGGCTTCATCGAGGAGCGCGAAACCACCCAGGCCTTCTGCGCCGTCCCCGAACACAACACCTTCTTGGCCGATCGCTACGTTGAGGGTGAATGCAGCATCTGCCACGACCTCGGTGCCCGTGGTGACCAGTGCGACGCGTGCGGCAACCTGCTCGACCCCATGCAGCCCGACAAGAACGCTGCCGGCGAAGACGAGAGCAAGGGTACCGGCTGGCTCATTAACCCCCGCTGCAAGCTTGACGGCTCCACTCCCGAGAGGCGCAAGACTAAGCACCTTTACATTCGACTAGACGAGCTCAATAAGGAGATCACTGCCTGGCTTGACAGGGTGGAGAATGGCTGGAGCGCCAACTGCGTTGCCATTACTCGCTCCTGGATCAACAACGGCCTGAAGCCCCGTGGTATCACAAGAGATCTCAAGTGGGGTGTACCCAGTACGTCTTTGCGCCCTGTCTTTGGTTGAGTCCCTTTACGGCCATAGCTAACACAGTTCCACAGTCCCCAAGGGCCTCGAGGGTCTTTCTGACGAAGAGTATGCCAACAAGGTCTTCTATGTCTGGTTCGATGCTTGCATTGGCTACGCTTCCATTACCAAGTGCTACACCGACGAGGGTAACCTGGAGGGCAGGAATTGGGAGAAGTGGTGGAAGAACCCCGATAACGTCACCTTGTACCAGTTCATGGGCAAGGACAACGTTCCGTATGTGCCCCGCGTGCTACTCTCACTCAAGTCACAACTGTCCTGACTAACACCGTCGATTAGTTTCCATACCATCATCTTCCCCGGCACGCAGTTGGGTACCAAGGAGAAGTGGACCCAGGTTAACCACCTGTCCACGACCGAGTACCTCAACTACGAGGGTGGCAAGTTCAGCAAGTCCAAGGGCGTCGGTGTGTTTGGCAACAACGCCAGGGATACCGGCATCGACCCCGATGTCTGGAGATACTACCTCCTCTCCAGACGTCCCGAGTCTGGTGACTCCGAGTTCAAGTGGGAGGAGTTCATTGACTCCAACAACAACGATCTCCTCAAGAACCTCGGTAACCTGTGCCAGCGTGTCGTCAAGTTCTGCCAGGCCAAGCTTGACGCCAAGGTCCCCGAGTACCCCAAGACTCCCATCGCGTCTCTTGATGAGTACAAGGAGGAGATCAACAAGCTCCTCAAGGAGTACAACGAGCAGGTCAAGGGTACCAAGCTCCGCGCCGGTCTTGCTACCGTCCTCAGCATCTCTGCCGTCGGTAACAAGTTGCTCCAGGACAACAAGCTCAGCAACCAGCTTCTTACCGAGGAGCCTGAGCGCTGCAACGCTGTCATTAACTTTGCCCTCAACCTTCTCCACCTTATTGCCGGTGTCTTGAGCCCTTACATGCCCGGCACCGCTCAGTCTATCCTCAGACAGGTTGGCCTCAAGGCTGCTGAGGGTGAGACCGACATCCCCGTTGTCATCCCTGACACCTGGACCGCCGACGCCCTCAAGGCTGGTGAGCCCATTGGCACCCCTGAGCTTCTGTTCTCCCAGATTCCCGCTGCCAAGCTGGAGGAGTGGCGCGAGGCCTACGGTGGTGAGGAGCTCCGCAAGCAAAAGGCCATTGAGGCCGAGAAGGCGGCTGCCAAGAAGCTGCAGAGGGAGAAGGAAAAGGAGAAGAAGAAGGCCAAGAAGGAGAAGGAGAGGCTGGCCAAGGAGCAGGCTGCCAAGGAAGCCGCCGCCGGTGAGACTAAAGAGCTTCCTTTGAGGTAAAGAAAGAGAAGAGGAAGGCTAGATAGATATCCATTGGGTCTAAGGGGTTGTTGGGTCGGTTGGTGAAAGGCGTTGTGCTGTGTCTTTGGCGGGTATGTATTTTGCGACGCGCCAGCTGTTCGGTTTTCATTTAGAGACGATACGATTTTTACGCCTGTCAGATGTGCAAAATAGATGATGATATCCACCTCTATTGTTTACCTTTTTGGTGTTTTGGATTAGACTTTTTAGGAAAGATGTTTATCAGGGGTTCGGCGTCGGACAGACAACCGTCATCCAGTAGAATTGTGTGTAGCGTCTCGTTGCGATTCTCCAGCGTGAACGGATAGGAGTGGGAGCTGAGGCGGTGATACATAGTGGACTTTGCTCCGGGATTTGTAATTGGTCGGAGACGAAGGCGGCGATAAAGACGGTGACGGCACAGCCGGGGGGCTATCAGTACCGGATCCCGGATTCCCGGTATTTCCGTGCGCGCTCTTTTCTCGGCTTTCATGCGGGAGGCGGGCGGATTACTAATATGGTGTATCGCCCAGAACTCACCGGGGCAATGGGCGAGATCTCTCACCCTCGTTGACGTGCGGCGATTGGTGACGCAGTCCATCTAGAATTGGCGATCAGCCTCTCACCGCGTTTGGCAAAGTCGCAAAGGGCTCCAACCCCCTGCGACGTGGTGGGTTTGGATGGATTCGGATTTCCAATCCAACTGTCTCCGGCTATGGCCATGGTACGATGGTTGGTATTCGTCAGGTCCCTTAAAACCGACAATGCGCTGACTAGTGGGCTGGCCGGTACACCTAGTCAGTAGTCAGGGAAATGGCCGTGTACGATTCATTGTCAATTGGTCCCTGACTAGGTATGTAGTGTTTTGGAAAGACCTGACGAGTAACCGTCGGCTTGGTCACCACGGGGAAAATTATTCCTCCATAGAGGTATTCTCCCTAGAGGTACAACCTGTCCTCATTTCAAATCATAGAACCAAAAAGTACCAGCAGCCCCACATTTGCGCGATCGAAGACCGTCTGAAGATTTCCATAAGCGTCTCTCACTCGGCAACCAATTAATGATCCATTGGAGGCGAACCTTCAACAACTGAAATGGATTGGCCAATGGAAATGGCGCCATTTTCAACGCCATCCGAACAAGAACTGTATTTTTTTTTTTCTTTTTTTTCCCTTTCCCGAGGGATGAAACGCCCATTTCAAGATCCCATGGGACACCGCTGCTGCTGGGCAAGGGGAACACCGACGATAGTCAGTTGAAGGGTGGTTTGTAATCAACACAGAAACACCCCCACTTAGTGCTCCATGATAACGATGCGTTTTAATACGGCTTCGGGCCTCCCAGAACGGGGAGTATAAATGCTATAAGCGCCCATCTACCCTCATTGCCCTTTTGTCGTTTCTGTATTCCCATCAGTCTATCCATCCATCTGTATACCTCATCCATCACCAACAACATCATCAAGATGACCGATTTCTCCCAGAAGAAGACCTCCTCCCCCGCGGCCCCGGGTGTTCCCTTCTACACCCCGGCCCAGGTCCCCGCCGCCGGCACTCCCCTCCCCTCCACCCCCGGCGATGTCCCTACTCTCTTCACCCCTCTCAAGATCCGTGGTGTTGAGCTCCAGAACCGCTTCGCCGTTGCGCCCATGTGCACCTACTCTGCCGACGATGGCCACATGACCGACTGGCACCTTGTCCACCTGGGCTCCTTCGCCCTCCGCGGTGTCCCCCTCACCATCTTCGAGGCCACCGGCGTCCTCCCCAACGGCCGCATCACCCCCGAGTGCTCTGGTCTCTGGCAGGACTCCCAGATTGCGCCCCTCAAGCGCATCGTCGACTACATCCACTCCCAGGGCCAGAAGGCCGGTATCCAGCTCGCCCACGCCGGCCGCAAGGCCAGCACCAAGGCCCCCTGGCACTACCAGCGCGGCAAGAGCGAGCTTGCCGGCCCCGAGCAGGGTGGCTGGCCCGAGAACGTCTGGGCCCCTAGCGCCATCAGCTACAACGAGGAGACCTTCCCCTTCCCCAAGGAGATGACCGTCGAGCAGATCCAGGAGCTCGTCGAGGCCTGGAAGGCCTCTGCCCAGCGCGCCCTCAAGGCCGGCTTCGACCTCATTGAGATCCACGCCGCCCACGGCTACCTCATTTCCGAGTTCTTGAGCCCCATCTCCAACCAGCGTACCGACCAGTACGGTGGCTCCTTCGAGAACCGCACCCGTGTTCTCCGCGAGATCATCTCGGCCGTCCGCTCCGTCATCCCCGAGGACATGCCCCTCTTCGTCCGCGTCTCCGCCACCGAGTGGATGGAGTACACCGGCCAGCCCTCGTGGGACCTCCAGCAGACCATTGAGCTCGCCAAGATCCTCCCCGACCTCGGCGTCGACCTCCTCGATGTCTCTTCCGGCGGCAACAACAAGGACCAGAAGATCAACGTCCACACCTACTACCAGATCGACATGGCTGAGCAGATCCGCGCGGCTGTGCACGAGGCCGGCAAGCAGCTCCTCGTTGGTGCCGTCGGCTTGGTCACCTCGGCTGAGATCGCCAAGGAGACCGTCCAGGAGAAGGAGGATGGCAGAGTTACCATCCAGCGCGAGAACGGCGCCAAGACTCGTGCCGATATGGTTCTTGTTGCCAGGCAGTTCTTGAAGGAGCCCGAGTTCGTCCTCACTGTTGCGGACGAGTTGGGTGTTGATGTCAAGGCCCCTGTTCAGTACCTCCGTGGTCCTCTTAGCAGCAGGCCCAAGAAGTTGACCACTGTTCCTTAGATTTGATGATGATGGAAACGACTCAAAAAAGAAAAAAAGGAATAGAAGGGGCGTAACGTTTTCAGCTTTGGATAGAGTATAGAAAGAGCGCTAGATACCACCTTTATATGAAGCATTTTAGATCCACTTGTTCTGATATCGTGCATCAATGTGTAGAAGCAACTTTGCTTCTCAGTTGAATGGGACTGAAGGCGACTTACTTTGACTGCAAAAAATGGACAGAAGATTCGTTGGTTATGAGCGGAAAGTATGTGATCGCTGATGCGTATCGATGTGTATATCGTAAATCATGATCCGTGAACGCTCTGTATCGCACCTTGTCCTTTCGCAGTTCTCAAAACGGCTATACCTCACGCCTCTGTCTCCCTCCAGCCACATTCCTCATCACACACCTTGAGACATCACCTCAAATCCCCCTTCCTCTTCCTCTCCTCCACCAACCACTCCGCCACACTCCTCGCCAACCCCAACATCAGCTCCTGTCCAATCCTCACATACTCCCCATCCTTGCCCACCTCACACGGCACATGCAAAAACACCACCTTTTTCTCCGCCTTGCGCTTATACAGCTCCGCCAAACTACTATAGTAAATGAAATCGCAAAGATACCTTCCGGGATCTTCACTGATCACCAGCTTTTCTCCCTTGTTACCGCCCTTGATATCATTGCCATACCACTTTGCTCCTCCTCCTCCTCCTGCCCCCTTACCGCCCTCTCCTTTATTCTTCCCTTCTTTTTCATCTTCACATTCTTCACCACCTTGGGATTTACCCACAAGTCCAGGCGGCGCATACCCCCTCCACTTTTCCAAAATCACATCCAAATCCAAATCCGTCCTTAGTTCCGCCGGACACCCCTTCCACACCCAATCGTCTTTCAACTGATTTTCCTTGTCGCGCAAAAACTCGCCGTCCACGTCCCGCAAGGCGTACCCGTCGCGGTGCGCAAGGCGTTCGATGGCCCATCGCGGTTGGGGGCCGGCCATGCCTATGTGGATGGCAAAGTCGTATTTCGTCGTGGGTTTCTCTTCTTCAGTTGTGGTGATGGCGGCGGCATCTTGTTCGGAAAAGGGGGCTTCGGAGGTGGGTTCTGCTAAGGCGGTGGTGGAAGAAGGGGAAGTAGGGGAAGGGGAAGAGGAAGAATCAAAAGTGGGAGCCCAAAGTTTGGGGATGAGTGCGCGGACGGTTTTATAAGAGACGCGGATCGGGTCCGGGTGGACGTGCAAGTTGACGCGAGGGATCAAGGGCGGTTTTTGCGTCGAGGGCTGTTTGGCGCGCAGAGGAGGGAGGATGGCGGGGAGGCGGGAGGCGATTTCCCAGGAGGGGTTGAGGGGGTATTCTTTTTTGAAGGGCTGAGGTTTTGGTTGTGGTTAGTTGATGAAGCGAGAGGTAGGTGGTGGGAAAATCGATGACTTACACCGAAGCCGGTGATCAGGACGTTGATCTCTTCGTCGCTGTAGACGTTGGTAGAGCCCATGGTTGTTGATGAAGGTGATGATTAGTTCGCGAAAGTGCGGGATGGGATGGAAGGGAGGTTATGTCGTTAGGACAATCGATGTAGCAACGTAGAGGTCCGGGTATTCAAATTGAAGCCAACGCTATAGAAAGGGTAAAGACGGCTGGGGGTCGATGCGATGGAATTATATAGGAGACTTGGACTGAAGTACTGGGAACAAGGCAATGGAAAGAGTGACGATGCAAAGAGGAGCTCTATCTTTTCTGTCCGAACCATCATCAATAAATCAGGCAGTGTAAGTGGAGAGCATAACATCACCAGCGCTTCATCGTGTCGGGTGCGGGGTGAGCCGACTTCCGTAAACGGATGGACAGACTGATAGGACGGAGTTCGGGATTGAGATGAGGGGAACCTCCAACAAAGCTGTCAACCTAATGTCAACCGAATCACAGCATTGCATTCCATTGCTTGGGTGACATTGATGGCGCTACAAGGCGGTTCAATCGTCCATTCAGTTGAATGGCCCGTAGTGTAAGCTTACTGTAGCGAGTACGGCAGTACAACATCAGTCAAAGTGTCTTGTACGGGCTTTTCTGTCGAGAACACAAGTAGATGAGGTGTTGGCCGTTCGGTGCTGTACAGAAAACAAATTGTTGTTATCCGCTTTGCCGTGGGTTATCAGCTTATCATGCTCATTTCTTGTACGGTCCGACGCCGCCTCGGCCAGGCAGCCAGGTGCACGTAATTCCAATCGCGGACGGAGACTTGAAGCTTACTGTGTCGTTCGGAACCGGGCCGAATCGCTCCTTTCTTTTTCCTTTGTTAGCCTATCTCACCGGTCTTGTCAGGTCGGAAGGCACCGCTGCCGGCCACCTACTGAATGGCAAACGCCGGCTTGGCACCGGTCATTTCTAGGTAGGTACGGGTCGCATCCACTCGGCATCCAACAACCAACAATCAACAGACTTGATTCAAACCCAATTCCAATTTCTGCCTGTTGCTTAAATTGCAGTCTGTGACCAACAACTTCTCATCAGTTGGTCAAGCATATTCACAATCTTAAACTTGCGATGTGATAGCTGCCGGGATGAAGGCTGACGCCAGAGCCGGCTTTGTGCTTGTCCGTCAGTCCGTCACAATCACCGTTGACTTGAGCAGCCCGAGCTATAAAACACCAAAGTCCCACTCTTGACGGACGCTGCCGCTTAGGGCCAACTACAGCATTGTTTGTCGGTATCCAGAGATCCCCGAGACGGGCAAAGAGGACGAGTTAGACATGCCCCATCCAAATCTCTGATCTTGCGGGGAAAATCCGGGGTAAGACCGGGCAACCCCGTCTGCCGAAACCGTGGACTCCATCGATGATATCTCCGCTTCTGAAGTCAGTTCGGGCCAGTGACTGTCAACCGGGTGTTGGTGAACTAGGTGGTGTAAAGGTCAACAAATTCCACGAAAACTGAGGACAGAAAAGCGCCGGATCATATGCCAAAAGAGATTTTCCTCGCAAGCTGACCTTTGCCTCGGCGAGGCGGCAATCAGCCAATCGCGGTCATCGTCGTTGCTGTGGCTCAGGAACCGGTTTGCGGTCCACATGCAACTGCGGGGGACGGACGACTGCGTGGTTGCGCAACCCACCCGTTTTCTTGGCTATCAGCTAGGCAGAACCAGGTATGGGATGCGTCGATCTGGGGTCGCATTCTATACGAGCTTAAAATCTAGCCTGGAAGAGTGATCTTGACTCTTGAGTCGCTCGAAAAGAGGCATCAAGAAATGCACTCGTCGAGAGGTAGGTAGCTTGCTGGCTGCGAACACGATGCCATGACGGGAACTCCCGGAGGTAGTGTACCATCCTTCAACGTGAACTACGACAACTGTTCGCTTTGTGTAACGGCTGGATGCTGATAGGTTGACAGTTCCAAATTTGCGAAATTGCAATGCAATGTTCACCCACATGCTTCCTGCTCAGGAATACTACGCTATGTAGGGCGCGATCTTCACCTCTCCTGCCCAGAAGATTCTCTCCCCGAGCGAATCCCCCACCGTCGCCATTCCCAGAGGAGCAGGCAGACCGAGAGATGGGGCGGAGAAACCCAGCTTTCGTTGGGATACAGTATGACCTTTTACAAGGGACCTGCCCAAATATCCACCGAGATGGTCACCTTGGTGTCGATTATCCCACTTACTGCCCTGGTCCTTTTTTCCTCCTCTTCTCGCCACGTTCAGGCATCTTTAGTTTTGTCGAACCGCAAGTATCTCGAGCAATATGAACGCTGCAAGAAGGGAAACGCATCCACGAAATGCAGCTGGCCCAGAAGCCGGCTTCTTGCACTGCTTTGCTTTATATCGGGCTGCGGCGGGTGAGATACGGAGAGGTTGAACCTCGAAAGTTGGAGACTGAACTTGAGCTGGTTTATAAGCGCGATAGGCAACTCTGCTGAAAGACCCTGCTCGTGCAAGGTACTCCTCAAGCATTCCCGGAACCTTACCCAATTCCGGGTCATGATAGTCTCCCGGCTCCCCACCTCGGCGAACTTCGATACCCATGGCAGCGGGCAGAGTTGTCTCCATCCTACCTTGATGCATAAGAATATTGCAAGCTGCTTGGGCTGAGCTCATTTTGAGCTTCCTCCCCAGCCCTCTGGAAACCAGCTGGTTCCAGCTTGCCACGCTCTCCAGCTTTTACTCTGGTTCTCCCCGTCCTTCACCTTGTTCTGTCACTCACTCGTCCTTTCTCTCAGCACCCTCCAACGGATCATATTACTTCATACAGAGGTTCGACCACAGTCGCTCGCTAACTGTTCACTATGAAGTTCTCAATGATTCCTGTGGCCGGGGCCCTCTTCGTTGCCGGAGTGAACGCCAAGGTCTCCGGCTGCATCGCCGTTGCTGTCAAGGCCATCCCTAATTGCGCCCAGACATGCTTCATCGACAACGCCCCGTCTATCGGCTGTGATGGCTTCGACTTTGCCTGTCAATGTGAAAAGCAAGCTGCCTTCTTCGCCGCTATCGAGTCCTGCGTTGCCGATTCTTGCGAGACGTCTCAGTTCCAGCCCGTGATCGATGGTGCTGCCGAGGGTGAGTGGACCGTCTTAGTGTTCATGTCTGCTTTCACATGTGAATGATAACAATGTGCTAACAATCTATATCTAGTCTGCGCCTGTGCTATCCCCGGTAACTCACCTCATACCGTCTCTGGGAGTGTCGTGCCTCCTAAAGGCACTGTGAGCAGCATCGTTCCATGCCCAACAACGATCGGATCCGTAATCCCATCTGGCATCGCCTCGGCTTACCCCACCCTTTCCGAGGGTTACCCCATCGCGTCTGAGATGCCTGGTGCCTCGTCGACTAGTGCCAAACCTCCCGCCGCAACGGGTGGCGCCGGCCGCTCTGCCCAGATCGGTCTCGGCGCCGGCATTGCCGTCGCTTTTGCTCTTCTTTAAGTCCGGGAATGGTTTGGGAAACTACGACGGAACGATCAGTACCCGATTGAGACGGGAATAAACGAAAGTAAACGAGCATGGAAAAATGAAAATGACCTGGAGCATGAGACACACAAACAGAATGACGACACCGTAACACTGAACAGCAAGGGAATTCGACGACTCCGATTCTGACAATACCCAAGGATATCTATGTACCCAACAAAAACAACAATAACAACCTAATTCCAACTTTCACTTCTCAAAGCCCGATACCCATTGCACGCAGTCTTACTCAGGGGTACAATCGAGCTCTCATCCTCGCTTTTGCTTTTGAGAGAAGGAGTTTTTGAGGGATCTGATCCACCTGGATCAGGAAAGAAAACTGAGCGAGGACGGGCAAATTTTCCACAATTGCAGGGGTTGATTCCACCATAATGAATGGATATCTCTAAGTCTTGTCGTCGTCGTCGAAGGAGGAGGAAGAATATAATCGGAATAAACATCAAGAATAGCTATATTATATACTATTGTCTAATTTTCGCTCATATGACATACTTCTCTCTCGTGATGGGCAAGGGCTGCTTTGTGCGATGAGAGAGCCAGCAGTTAAATTTGCTGGCTGGGGCAAGTAGGTAGTCGTAGGTAATGGGTGTGCAGTTCGCTACTTCCCATTTGTCTGGGAGTAGACAAGTCAAGCCTAGGTTGCCAGATCGTTCTCATCTTGACGTAGGCAGCATTAGTGGGATAATGATGCACAGAAAGAGGTGGGTGGTGATGGGAATGAGATTTCAATTGACCAACCGAAAGGGGTTGGATTTGGTTAACCAACCGACTCTGCAGTTTCAAGGCGATGGTCCTTCCAACGCACGATCCCACACCTGAGAGACAACCCTATCTGGTGTCTTGTCGAACAGCAGTGCCTTTCTTACCATCAGAAGGGGAAAAAAAACAAATTGACAATTACAGCAGTGAGCAGGTTGTGTATATAAGATTCAAAAATAAATGAGGACCAAGTAGTTATATGTAGCCCGACCAATAATCGTAACGCCAAATCCATGACCTGAAATCTGTACTCGAGAGATACCTTCCTTCCAAACCCATCAATACTGACACCATCCCGAATAAATCCTCGTGGGAACCGTTGTTTCTTCTTTCCAGGTCAATTAGTCCGATCACTAATACCACCATGACATAGAATCATGGTGAAGTCTTGATGATTCCATCATCTCAAAACAACCCGTAGCATCATGTATCTGACCTTTCATCCCGTCGTCATCTTTCTACCTGTATCAATTTACCCCTTTCCGTATTCAAACAACCCTTCAACTATCCCCGCTTCTCCATCTCCCGCACTCTCCCCTCCCTCTACATCCTCCATCCTCCCTCTCGAGGGCACTTCATAGGTAGTAATCCCTAAACCCACCACTCCTCCCTCCCCTCTCCATCAAGAACCTCAACCTCCCGCCTTCTTTTCCTTCTGGCGACTCCAACAAGAAACTCGGAACGTCCGTGTTATTAACCACCTCCTCAAATACCCACTTCTTCCCGCCTTGCTGCTCATGGACATCAGCCCAGAGATCTTTTCCCTCTCGCACGTATCGGACTATCCTGTCTCTTTCCATCTCATCAATTTCACCAAAAGGACCGGCGCCGAGTCGATGGTGATGTTGATCCATCCCATTTACCCCGTCGTTGATAAGGAGAAATTCCGTCAAGGTAGGAAAACAAAACTGGCATGTCCAGCTGGCGTTTTGCAACGTTTGTTCTTGTTGTCTTTCTCTTCCCTCCCATAACCATAACCACTTGGCTAACCACAACCAGTAAGTTCTCTTGTCCAGCCACTCGTCTGTCGTCCACCACTTTTTATCCCCACCCCCTTTCCCATCCCCAGGAACAACACGACCAGACCCAGACCCAGACCCAAAACCATACCTCAACCCTCCCCGTCCACCCATCTTCACCGTCTTGCCTCCTACCCCCTTGTAGACCGTAGCCTGCGGATGTCCCCATTCCACTTTCTTCGACTCTTGATCTACGTACCCCGGACCATATTCGTGCGTGCGAGAGAACCAAGGAGGTCGACGGACGAATTGGAAGGAGTAGTAGTGCATTTTGGAAGAGAGGGTTAAGCGGGCTGGGAAGATACATTCTTTCAAGAGGGCGAGAGTTTGAGGGCGGGGGATCTCGGAGGCGAGGGAGAGGAGGAGGATGTCGTTTGTTTGGGGACGGCGGGAACTTATTGATGATGATGAGTTCAAACTGGGGTTGTGGGTGGACGGGTTACCAGTGGGGGGTTCAGCTGCGAGAGAAGGAAACACTTGATCGAACATGGCGTTTAGGTGGAAATCTTGCCATGGTGATGATGATACCGATTCAGATGCGGATGCGGATGCAGATGCTTTTCCCGACGTAAGAGGCCGGGGGTCAAAATCCTCGGGGTATTCAGCTTCGTGGTAGATAATCTTGGATTTGTAGGCGTCGAACCGGGAGGAGGAGTCGAGTGCATGTTGAAGCAGCAGAGGCTTATTCCGCCCTGTAAATGTCTTGGCACTCTCGACGAGAACGTAGTAGTCGACGGCGCCCCAGGTGGTGTTTAGACGGACTTCGAGCAGGTCGAGTTCCGTGGTGACGAGAACTAAATCGTAGATCTTGCGGGGAGGGTCCGAGGGTTGGCGGGGCTGGTAGGGTTTCCAACTGTAGGGGCGGCAGATATTTTGCCGGCTGAGGGAGCTGCCCTTGTTTGCTTCATTGTCGTCGTCGTAGCTAGGGTTGTTTTTGTCGAGGCGGAGGTTGAAGGGTGAGAAGAGGTAGATGAAGGCCCATATGCTGAGGAGGAGGACGATGTAGCGGACATATTTACTGGGGTTGGTGATGGGTTGGAGGAGCATGGTGGTTGGTTTAGTGCCCGGTAGCGGTAAGGAAACGTGGGAATGTGAACAGAGGAATCAGGGGGAGATAATTTCCCTACAGAACCAGCCGGAGGCTTTGATGGAAGTGAAGTAAAAGTAAACAAACGGGGGAGATTTGAACAAACGAAAGAAAGGGCACAGACAAGGGTGACGTCGAAGTTCCATACTTGGAAACTTTTCACACCCTGACGATCTCATCTGAGGGTCTGACCCAAGCAACGGCAATCCTCCCCCGCACATGGATTTATACCCGGTGGTTGCCCGGTTCCTGACGGGCTTGATTAGTTTCAAAACACCAGCAGCTGATATTGGTCGCCGTGCAACCAAGATCCTTGCTGAGACTTGGACTAAAGTTTGAAATGCAGATCAATGTGTTGTTGTGGGGAGATGGGCAGAGACAAAACGAAAGCTTAGTTCCAAGGGGACCCAAGTCGCTGTCCCCCCCTGCACGGCTAATCTGTGTCAAACCTCGTATAATGGAGACGACCGGCGTGGCTGTTCAGACCGGAATTATAGTTCAGAATGATACGTAGAAGCCACATGCGAACACTCAGTGTCTGTTCCCTTGAGGAGTGTTGAAAGCTTGTTGCTTTCTGCTTTGGAGAAGAATGTTGTTTCTGGAAAATGTCGGGGTCGTCAATGGATTTTTTGGGTATCAGTTCGTCCCTACACAACCCTAGACGTCCTCCCATACATAACCCTGACCAGGTGGATACAAGAACACCCTTGGCTAATTGTTAAGAAAGCATATTACTTGTTATGCAAGGAATTTCGAAACCAGGTTGGGTATTCGGGATGATGACTGACGAACGAACAATCACTTACAATATCTTATACCCCCGTAGCCATCATCACTCCCTCCGGCCTCGGCTCCGGCGCAAGTTGCGATAACCCGGCACAGCAAGCCCCACTATTAGCCGCTAGAGGTACCTAGCAGTGCCGAGGCCGGTCCATCCGCGCGGCGGGGGGGTCCGTCACATCACTCAGCATCTGTCATCGATACTGGAACCCCGCGGAAAACGGGGGACACGGCGCATTCTCACTTATTATCACCACCAACAACAACCTCCGACTGACTTCATCAAACTCACACCATCTCTTCTAATATATTTCAAAACAAGAGCCAATCTCACACCACACAAACAACCTTCCAAATCATCGTACCCTTCAAATAACCGCCAACATGTTCACCGGCATAGTCGAAGAAATCGGAGGTCCGTTCCCCCCTTTCTCCCCTTTTTGCCCTCCCCCCTTTTCACCCCATCTTTCCACCCACCATCTCGTATTAACACCCTCACTAACTCCTCAAATCCCAAAAAAAAACAGAGGTGACAACCTACACCCCCAACGACCCCCTCTCCAAAAACGGCACGACCCTCACCATCACCCTCCTCCCCTCTTCTTCTTCTTCTTCTTCTTCTGGTTTGCTCTCCGACTGCCACCTAGGCGACTCCATCGCCGTCAACGGCGTCTGTCTCACCGTCACCTCCTTCACCCTCACCCCTTCCGCCTCCTTCACCGTCGGCATCGCCCCCGAGACTCTCCGGCTCACCAACCTCGGCTCCCTGCGTTCCGGATCGCGCGTGAACCTGGAGAGGGCCGTGCGCGCCGACACCCGCATGGGCGGCCACTTTGTTCAGGGCCATGTGGACACCGTAGCGGAGATCATCAAGATCACGCCCGATGGGGAGGCGTTGACGTTCCGGTTTAGACCTAAAAACAAGGAGGTGTTGCGGTATGTGGTGTACAAGGGGTTTATTGCGCTGGATGGAACTAGTTTGACGGTTACGGCGGTGAATGATGAGGAGGAATGGTGGGAGGTAATGCTCATTGCGTACACGCAGGAACGGGTGGTGGTGGCAGGAAAAAAAGTGGGCGAGACGGTGAATGTGGAGGTGGATATGACGGCCAAGTATGTGGAGAAGAGCTTGAGGGGGTATTTGGAGGGGTTGTTGGGGTCTGCTTCTGCTGAGGAACAGGGCCAGGGGGAAGAAAAGAAGAAGGGGAGAGGGTTGTTGGAGAAGGTTGTCGAGGGGATTGTGAAGCAGGGGTTTTCTTGAGGTTGTGCTGAATGGAAGTGTTTTACGGTTTCAATACGGAAGGGAAAAAAGTTGAGATGAGTATGATACCATTCGTGACATGTACTAAGCTCGTGTCAAGGACTTTGATATACAAGACAATTATTCAAACAAGGCTTCTTGGCCTCTTCAACCCCGACGAGAATCACAGAAAACCCCAAACATCAGCAATCCTCTCACTCAGTCCCTTATCTACACTCCTCCGATCAACCAGGTGCGAAAGCATACTCATCACCAAAACCTTCTGCTTCTTTTTCCCATTCTCATCACTCCCGCAAGCCTCAAACGCCTTGACCAGCTGAAACGGCGTCTTCCACACCTTTTGGATCTCAATCGCCTTTTCTCCCGACAGCCTCCTGATGCACATCAACATCTTGATGAACACGTCCTTCAGCGTCATCATCTCCGACTTGGAAACCAGCGACGCAAAGGCCGGATAACTGATATAGTACCCCCTGGACGGCTCTTTCTCCCGCAGATGCTTCACCAGCGGCAAGTAATTCTTGGCCGTCAGGACCTGAGTTGGAATGACAAACAGCGGCTTGCTTTCGTATATCTCCTTGAGCATATACGTCACGGCCGCCAAGTACCGGATGGACTCGGCAATCGTGTCTGTCTTCTTCAAGAAATAGCCGTTGACGACCTGGATCGACGCCATGGCCGTGTCCATTGCGTCCTGGTACTGTCGTCGGATATCCATGTCGATGTTGAAGTTCTCGATAATGTAAACAACGTTCTTCATGCCCGATCGCTTCAGCCGGTACTTTTGCTCGCGGAAGCGCCCGTCCTTGATGCTCCCAATAAGATCATCCAGGCGTTTGCGCTCGACAATGTAATCTAGGACGACCTCGTCACCTTCGGCGCCTAGCCTGTTAAGCCAGCCCGGTTGCTTGCACTTGGCGATCCAGAGGACGTCGCCGAGCTCGAGACTCCGCATGATGGGTCGAACACCGAGTTTGGAGAGCTCTTCTTGGATGTGGTCCCGGTTGTTCTTGGCTTGGACTTCGCGCGTGTCGAGGACTAGTTCGACTGTGAAGGAGCCGGGGGCTAGTCGAATGGGGGTAAAATGGGGGAGGCTGGACTCGTCAGGCACGGAATCGCCGTCTGCTACCAGGTCGATGTAATCGCGGTTTGTCGTCTCTCGGATAATTGGTTTCCGGTCCTCTTCATCATACTTGGGGTCTTCATCGTCACTATCGATGATGATACTATATTCTGAATTTGCCGTGTGAGGTTTTGGCTGCAATGGTCTATCCGGGGTTGCTGTAGTCGAGACAAACGGCTTCAAGTCAAGAGGTGTGTATCGACTTTCCCTCTTGACTCCGCTGTCTTGACGATTAGGGTTGACATTCTCACTGCGGTTGGGATTGGAAGTACCGCTGCCACTAGCAATGGAGTTCCTTGACGTATTAGCGCTCCCACCCACTCCATCCACGAGGTTCTGTGCTTCCTTCATCCGGTTGACCACTTCCCAGCCGTCATCTGTCAATGAAAATCTTTTGGAAGGCCGACCGCGTATATAAACAAGTTCTTTGTCTTCGAGTGTCTTTATGGAATCCCAAGCTGTATACGATTTGTTTGCCATGGTAGGAACGGTGAAGGAGTGTTCAGAATAAGGTTGTGCTTTGGCGATAAGCGTGGTCTTGTCCATGAACTCTTTGGGTCCAAGTTCTGAAAGAGCCATGAGCAGAGCATATGCGCCGCTGTTCAGCTTCGGAACATAAGGTCGGGCTGTCCTGGCTCTCTTGGGAGGTGATGGCTGTTCATCTTGCGCGGCACCCGCTGCCGCAAGAGCTGATTCTAACTCCAACGTTCGCTTCCTCTTGGGATGTTTGGGCATGGGGAGGCCATTCTCCTCGCAATATTGCTTAAGCCTGTCGGTAAGTCTTTGACTGATTGTGGGGCCAAACCCGTTGAGTACCTGAAGTTCCGAAGGATGTTGAAAAGTCAATGGACATGCTTTGAGTGAGTTGTATGCCTTTTTGTAGGTGGGGGCGCCTTTGGTGTTGTGTTCACGGGCGGTATCCCACCACTCCTTGACCCAACCGAGAAACAGTGGGTTAGCACCAGTATCGCCAGCCATGATGAGCGGTTATAGCAGATGGAAACAAGAAAAGAAAAATGTCTTATAATCAACCCTTCGAAGATGAATCCCAAGAAACCAAGAACAAAGGAAAACAATGTTCGTCGTAGCGGAATAACAGGAAGATGATGGTAGGAATGTGCGAGAAAAGCAGGATTCCAAAAAGGTGCCAAAAGCAAGCCAAACAACTTTAGCAAGTCATCACCGACCACCGGGTACGAGAATGTCGTTGTCAAAAGTATAAGCAACAGTCAAGGTTGCTGCCCGGTGAGACGCGTCTCGGCGATGGACTGCGCGTTTGTCGTGTTAATTGGTTTTCGGGAAAAGAAAAGAGAGTCGCCCGAGCAACGGCGGCAAACGGCCGGTACCTAGCAAGTGGACCATTCAGGGGACGCTAACATGCACTAACAATTTTCGAGGGCTGAGGTGCGTTAGCAAACCGCGGGCTGGGCATGACGTGCAAGTGGATCCTAATGCTCGGGGTGATTTGCACTAGCGGCTCCCACTATTTCCCCATCCGTCACCTTGCAGCCCCTCATCAGCTCACCTTAACGGTGCGCCCCCCCAACCCCAAGACCGCAGAAAGCTCCGAAGTGGAAGAGCTCAGGTCCAGTCCCTCGCATGTTGAGTTGAGTTCATCCCCATTCTTTCTGTTAGCAGCCAGGACAGTCCCACTTTGGGGGAGTCGGGACCCCTTTTGTCTTGCACGAGGCTGCATTGCCCGATCAGTCTTTGTTTCTCACGTTGGAACCCTTTGGAACTGGGAAAAGTCAACACTCAATACAATTGTTGCCGTCAGCTGGCTGGCTACGTTCAAGAAGTCTCTCAGAATAAGTACTTACAGCTCAGTGGAACTGTGGAACCTACCAGATCCATACAACACATCAAAACGGTAAGAATGGAAAGAAAGTGAAGGGAATGGAGAGAGAGGATCCTGAAACCAGCTCATGCATTTGTTTGTTGTTATTGTTGCTGCACTCTACACTAAATGTGGACTGCGTGTGGATTCGTTCACGTTGCCAGCCGGCAAAATCCAAGCAAAGACGATCCAATCGATCTCCATCGTGCACCCCATCGTATCTATTCTACTTGTGACCAACCCCCCTTTCTGTCTTCTTCCACAGGGGCACCTCATACACTCACTGGCTACTAGAGGTACATCTGGCTGGCTTCCTCACGCAGCCTTCCACCGACCGCCCTTCATATCCCACCCCCTCCTCCTCCTTCTCCCCTTCTGCGCTTCTCCATTCTCCTAATCCAACTCCAAACCGCAGGACCAGCTGAGTAGAAACCAGACAACTACCCCCCCTCCGAATTTCCTCCCATGGCGCATCACGACGAACGCATCCTGGCTGCTGCCCAGAAGCATGCCATTGTTCCCTTGGAGAAGGGGCAGCTATACAAGTATGGCACTGCGGGGTTCCGCATGAAGGCTGACCTGCTCGACGGCGTCACCTTCCGCGTCGGCTTGCTGGCGTCCCTGCGCAGCCGCAAGCTCAACTCCCAGACCATCGGTGTCATGATCACCGCTAGTCACAACCCCGCCGTCGACAATGGTGTCAAGATCGTCGACCCCATGGGCGAGATGCTCGAGCAGGACTGGGAGCACCTTGCGACCAACCTCGTCAACGCTCCTACCCCGGAGGACCTTGTCCAATACTACAACCAGCTTGCGACCGACCTCAAGATCGACCTGAGTGCTCCCGCCAAGGTCATCTATGGACGCGACACGAGGCCATCCGGTCACACTCTTGTCACCGCCCTTGCCGCCGCCCTGGAAGCTACCGAAACAGAGCAGGTCGACTACAAGATCTTGACTACCCCTCAGCTGCACTACTTGGTCCGCGCTACCAACACCGAGGGCACCCCCACCTCCTACGGCGAAGTCAGCGAAGTCGGATACTACAAGAAGATGGCCGATGCCTTTGTTCGCGCCTTGAAGGGCAGGAGAATCAACGGCCCCTTGATTGTCGATTGCGCCAACGGTGTCGGAGGTCCCAAGCTCGCCGAGTTCCTCAAGCACGTTCCCCAGGACAAGGTCAATTTTGAGGTCAAGATCGTCAATGACGACGTTCTGCGTCCCGAGGTCCTCAACCTCGAGGTAAGTAGCTCAAGTTTGTATTCAGCTTTGTTGATAATTAAGCCTAACTTCTGTCTTCCTTCTCCTAGTCCGGTGCCGATTTCGTCAAGACCAAGCAACGCGCTCCCCCCAAGCCCGCGCCCCAGCCCGGCGTAAGGTCCTGCTCTCTTGATGGCGATGCCGACCGCTTGATCTACTACTGGATCGATCCCGATACCGGCTTCTTCATGCTCGACGGTGACCGCATCTCCTCTCTTGCTGCCTCCTTCATCGGTGACCTTGTCGAGAGCGCCGGTCTCAAGGATGAGCTCCGCATTGGTGTTGTCCAGACCGCCTATGCCAACGGTGCTAGCACCAACTACATCCGTTCCCACCTTAAGCTGCCCGTCATGTGCACTCCCACGGGCGTCAAGCACCTTCACCACGTCGCCCAGAGCTTCGATATCGGTGTCTACTTTGAGGCCAACGGCCACGGCACCGTTCTCTTCTCTCCTGATGCTCTGAGAGCCTTCAAGACCACCGAGCCGCAGTCTCCCGCCCAGCAAGATGCTCTCACCACCCTTGCCGCCCTCAGCGACCTGATCAACCAGACCGTCGGTGACGCCATCTCCGACATGCTCCTCGTTGAGGTCATCCTGGCGCACAAGAACTGGTCCCTCCGTGACTGGGCCATGACCTACAACGATCTTCCCAACAGGCTCGTCCGCGTTGTCGTTGGCAACAAGGATCTCTTCCAGACCACTGATGCCGAGCGTCGCCTGTCCCACCCCGAAGGTGCCCAGGAGCAGATCGATGCCGCCGTCAAAAAGTACAAGGATGCCCGTGCCTTTGCCCGCGCCAGTGGTACCGAGAACGCCTGCCGTGTGTACGCCGAGGCCGCCACCAACAGTGAGGCCACGGAGCTCGCCAAGCAGGTTGCGCAGATTATTGAGCGATTCGGCGGAAACAGCCAGTAGAGCGGGTATGGTTTTAGTTCGAATTCAGATAGTGATGATTTTGCGGAGTATTATATACGGCGTTTGTGGGTTAATCGGAGCGGGCAAGATCTTGATGCATTTCTTAAAAGGCGAAAAGAAGCCATGAATGGACGTTATGAAACAGCCAAAGAGTTTTATGAGCGGCGAGAGATGGAACAACGCGCGGAAGAGCGTTCGAGGCGCCAGTTTCTGCGGACGCTTCCCGGGCAGACGCCTCTTAATGATTATAATGTCCATCCTCAACCTGATGCGCCGCTCGCTACTCCGTCGTCGTCGTCGTCGTCTATGACTAGATCTTCTTCTCAGCATAATGATACTTCTAGTACTGACAGCCGCGGCAATCAAGATTCTGGTCGCACATATAATCCTCATCGTCGGTTGTCCGAGAGAGTATCCGACCACATTGATGGAGACGGTCACAGTTATAAGGTCCGTAACAAATATCCACCCTTGCGCACCAGAACCCGTCGGAGCGCAACTGTCCCAACCGAAGGACGTAATTCCCTCTGGCGTCCGCGCCCTCGCAACGGCCTAGGCGCTGTGGCCGAAGACTCCCATTGGGATCCAGCATTCAACAACAGCTACTTATCCTCCTCCCCCTCCTCCGATGACGACAACCGCACTTACGTCGACGACGACCAAGACCAGTACCAGTACCAATACCACCCGTTTTCTGAACCAACCCTACTTACCTCCGATCCCCAAACCAACCCCAACACAAAAACCAACAAGATGAAAAAGAAGACGGACTAGGACTCCTCCTCTTCATCATCATCATCCACCACCGTAGCCCACTCACCAAGCGATTCCATCCTCATCGCAAGCGACGACGAAGGCGCAGGTTGTCTCAAGCCACCTACCGACCCTACCGACAGAAACAACAAAACAGCAAGGCGACCGATTCTGCTGGCTCCACTGTACGCTGGTCCGGAAGAGACGTTCCCGAATACGCCTCCTGTAGACGTCGTTCCCGAACGGGAACCCGAGTGGGACGGCGTGGCGAGGTCGGAACCCCCCTTCCAGCCCATGTTTATGGGCAAGCACTTTGATCCAAGGGATCCGTATCGGTATGGACGGGGACCTGCACGGGGTCGTGGGGGAGGAGGTCGGTAAGGGGATGTTGTGGGGTTGGTTAAGTCGGGTTCAACGGTTTATACCTAATTCTTTGCTTTCATGGTGGGTGTTGCTTTGAGATATTGGTGGTTGGTTGGTTGGTTGGTTAGGTGGTTTCATGCATTGGACTTGGACTGGTTTGGGGAAACCATATCAAAAGAAAAGAAAAGAAGATTCCAAGAAAAAGGCGAAAATCGGTGTTGATAGCATGGCGTGGCGTCGTTAATATGGATATAAAGGATCTGAAGCGATCTTTTGGCCGGCAGATGGGATTCCATTTCTTTCTCTTTTCTCTCTCTCTTCTATACAGAACTGAAAGGCACGACGACGGGATGGGGATGATTTTCCAAATTTCGAATTCAAAAGATCAAGTAACTCTAGGATCTTTTTTTTTTTTTTTTTTTTTTTTTTTTTTTTTCCTCTTCTTCTATTGCATCTTTTTTACTTCTTTCGGCCATCAGTCTCCAGGTATACCCACTTTTGCTCTACTATTTATTTTTCTTCTTGTTTGGTAGTTAGTTACTTACTGTAGTTGTCTGCCATGAATGTGGTGATACACGAGGGGGGTTATAACTTGCCCATAAACCCACACAAAACGAACACAAGGAAGGGAAGGGAAGGGAAGGGAAGGGAAGGGTTGAAAAGATCAGTGTGAAAAGGAAAAGGTTGATCGTGATAGGAAAGCAGGAATGCAAAACGAGAAAATAATCAGAGCAGCAACGAAAGGAACGTAGATAAAGGACAAGGCCACAAGAACCAACTTTGTAGTTCCCATGAAACAAATAAATAACCCTGTAGATAGATAATGTACAACGTACGTACACCAACCAAATAGGTAGATCACTCATTCTCCTCTCTACACACACACATACACAGCTCCTCCTCCTCCTCATCATTTATTTCATGCCCCCTAGTTTCCTAGAGAAAACCAATAGTGGATTCTAATGTCCCTTTACCGGGTAGCTTTTACCATCGAAATTACCATGCTGGAGCTCATTGATAGGAATCAGTCACCGACTGAACAAAGCAACACGGACATTATCAAATAAACCATGTATGGTAGACTGTCAAGTCAAGCTTCTTAATAGGTAGATAGGCAGGTAGGTACCTGACCTAATTAAGCGCCGGCTAGTACAAGGAAAGGAAACGTTCAAGACTAATCTATTTGTACTAATACCGCGCGGTGCAGATGAATGTAATGCAATGTAATGTATAAACCAAAACTTGGAACCAAACCAAGACTGGTGCAGCTTACACACTCGAGAAAAGATTTTCGATAACATTTGAGTAAGGAAGGGCGGCAAGCATGATGCTCCTTTTTTTTTTTTTTCTTTTTTTTTTTTTTTTTTCTTTCTTTTTTTTCCCCACTGTGATCATCCCTTAGTTGCTGCCACCATCACCACCACCACCGTGCCACTTCTTCTTTTTAACTACACATAGGTTAACCTAATGAAGCCATTCTTGGTACTTTTCTTCCATTAGCGTCTACTACACTACACTACACTACACCACACTACACTATAATATGATGCTGGTTTGTCTGTTAGTTTGGTACTCCGATCATGGGCTGAACAATGAGGTTTTGGAGCTTATATTCCGTTGAAGGGATATAAGACAATGGCAAGGGTTCGTGACGCCACATAAACCTCTAATGGGTGTCCCATAATACCTCTGTCTATCTCCTTCAAGGCCCTCAAGACTAGAACATGGACCATTCAAACTAGGCAAAACACTTGATCAAAAGCCAAAATTGAAACTTTGGCTTTTTCTGTACCAGACTAACAAACAAACCAGGGTGGTCATTTCGACGTCTGGTCATTTCGACGTCTGGTCATGCTTTGTTCAATTGGCGCTTATTACCAACAACCTGAGCAAGTTTATTTCGACTTCGGTCAGTAGATTAACTCAACATTATCAAGTGCCATGCTTGATCCAATATCGACTGACAAGAATATCCGAAGGTCACGCCTGGGCTTCGTCTGGTATATTTTCAACAAATCAACGAATTATACAAGTCATAACTCTTTCTTCGCTGGGTATCACATCAAGTGTTCAACATCATCGTCAAATGGCATCCCATTGTGATCATTAAGCATTCCATTGACGTTATCTTCCGGATGCTTTGGCAATCACGCACCCAACCCGGCGGGCCTAACGTATCGCGTTTTGATATCGTGCTTTAGTCAAGCATTGACTCATGTTTTCTCTGTGTATTACAGAGTAAGAGAGTTCCCTTATATATATGTCTCTTCTTTCTTCCGCGCGCGCTTCCTTTCCGCTGCTGGATATCTAAGAAAACCCCTGGTCCCGCTAGTGAATTCGTAAAAAGCAAAATATATGAAAAACACAAAACCCAGGTTAAAAAGCAACCCCTTCTCTTTTAAGACGCCGTGCAATTCCCAATACCCCCAAAAGCTTCGTGAATACTGTGAGCTCATCCACATCTCTTCGACGATCTCATGGACAAGGGGCGGCTTCTCAGCTCGCATCGTCCATTTGACTCGTCGATTCGACACTTTTGTCTAGCAGATCCGCAATCAAATATTTTACTAGCACATCTTGTACAAGCACCTGCCCTCAGCCTGCCTCGTGGGGTCTTGGTTCTCGAACTTGTAATCGATGGTGATATCAAGATCACGCTTGTTCTTCTGGTTGGGGCGGTTGTGAAGCGAGCACTGAACCTTCTCGCCCTGCTGGACGGTGAGGACGTCCTTGAGGTAGAAGACGGTCTGCTTCCAGTGAGTGTACTGGGTGTGGGGACCGGTCGAGAAGCGGATGGGCTTGTGGCAGGCGGTGAAGTCAATGTCGAACCAGGCGACAAGGGCGTGGATGAAGTCATCGCGTCTGGCGACGAGCTCGAAGTTGGACTTGAAAGCCAGGTCGGCAGTGGTGCAAGTGTAAAGGTCGAGAGTCAAGATGTTGACGGGGTCAGTGACGACGGTCTTAACGTCAACAGTGTCGACAAGGGGCTCGGAAAGAGCAGTCTCCTTGAGAGGGCTGTAATCGAATCCGTAGACGTTGTCCCAGACTGGTAAACCGGTGTCAGTAGGAAGTTTTTCACAAAATGAAAAGCCAAAAAAACAGGGGCAGGGAACATACAGCCAATCTTCTCATCCTTGTAGTCACCATCTTCGATACCAGCAATGAAGATGGTAGCCTTGTCGGGGAAGATGAGACCGCCGGGAGCCAGGTAACGGTCACGAGCGTAGAGGACAGTGTCCAACATGGACTCGTAGAGGAGGAAATAACCCATCCACTCAGAGATGATGATGTCAACCTTGGGGAAGGGAAGCTCGATCTCCTCCATCTTGCCCTGGATCAGGGTGATCTTGTCGGAGAGGCCGTTGACCTTGACAATCTCACGAGCCTTGAAGATGATGGTGGACATGTCAACACCGATAACGTGCTTGGCGCCGGCCTTAGCGGCAAACCTGTGAGAAGAGAAGACGGTTAGCAGGCTGTTTCACCGTTTTTGGTTTGCAGTGTTTGGCGCATTCCAGGAGCGCCAGAGCTGCAGGTTTGCGTGATGCAGGAGATGGGGACGTACATGGAGAGGATACCAGTACCGCAACCAACATCGAGAACGATCTTGTCCTTAAAAAGGTGCTTGTTCTGGACGATAGAGTGCATGTACGACTTGGTTCTGACCTCGTCCTTCAACATCTCCTCGTGAATGCCTTTGTTGCGCAACAAATCCAGGTTAGCAACAGCCAGACTATAACGGCCACGAGGCCAACTAGGAAGCGCGCAGTCCGTGGACCTCGCGATAAGCGGGTGCTGGTGTCTCACCATGGTGGTTGTAGCTAGAGGACGCAGTCATGTTAGCTTTGATCTGTCTCTACCACCATAGGATATCAACGAGAAGAGGCGAGACGGTCATGTTCGTACCTGTTGAAGTAGTGCTGCTCGGCGTGATCCATGCTCTTGAGCTTCTGCTCGGCAACCTCAATGTCCATCTGATCGTTGGCCGCCATCTTGACTGTTGTTGATGCTGTTTGTGTATGGGAAAACAGACAAGAATAAAAGATGAATTGGTGTAGAAAACCAAAAGGAATCAAAGAAGAGGAAGATGTAAAGCTGGAAAATTTGCAGGGCAGCTCAGCGATGGAGATAAAAAGTGGGAAAGAGGATGGAGAGGCAGGTTCGAAGGGGAGCCTGATGCTTGTGAAGTTTTCTTCGTCTGCCGCAATGGCAATTGCCCAGACGGGTCCAGCATGGCCTTTCCTTGCCTCAACTTTTTGCCTGGCCCCGTCAGAGATTGGGTTGCCAAATCAGATCCATACCCCACTTCTACTTAGGTTGTGCTGGGCTCCAGAGATGGATGGAGAGGGAGGCAGTTCCTGGGTGGGGTGGGGTCCTGGGGCTTTCCCGCCTGCCCGCAAGAGCGCCCGAGTCGTCACCCACACTGGACCTGACACCTCACCTGGCACTTACACGCGCACAGGGCTGTCCGACATCCGCGCAGCCCAGGCACTGACAGGCACGTCTGGCACAGGAACCTTACCTCCACACAGCCTGCGCGCCGGCCCCCCGAACATGGGGACTGCAACTGCGGTGAATCCGCTTTATCGCATTATCCGATCTCTTGCCCCCGCGACGCCGTCCAATCTCCAGGCTTGTCCCCTTTTGGATCTGGCGTGCCTAGCTCGGTCTTGGCAGTCTGGGCCGTTGATGGGCCCTTTTGGACCCTTTTTGGAGCACTCCACCTCACTGGCCCCCTCCCCTGGTGGTGCTTGCCACTTTGGCGCTAGGTCTAGCCCGTGCTCCCATGTATTTGACATCAGGTGTAAACCCAACGTGGGTTTGGATATCGCGAGGTATCGAGGTTGCTGAATGGACTTAAGATACCTATGTAGTTAGTAATTTAGGCTTCTGGAAAGCTGTAGTATTGTAGAGAGCTGGTATTTCCCTTTCAACGCCATTCAGATCCATAATCCATGGGCCATCAGTTCTCAACCTTCTTTCGAACACTCTGGGACTAAAAGTTCCGACTGCCCCTTGCCATCTCGAGTCAACATCCCCGTAAGGACAAGTCGTCTTTCTTCAACAAAACCCATACTATTTCGGCCAGGTATATATAGTAATACTTTTCTTCTTGGTATTAGTCTCCTCATCCATCGCTTTTCTTGCCTGCCACATCTGACTCCCGTTCAATGCACACATGGCCATTATCTATCCTCTAGAGTAACCCAACATAACCGAGATAGATCAGAAAACTCCACATGTTGATAAGCCTCATCATGACATGATCTGTTTTTTCCCCCATTACATCCCCTTGTTTTCATGCTTCCCTAATTAAGCCAGGCCTGCCATCTGCATCAGGCGAGTGCCAACCTTCAAATTGGCGTACTCATAAGCCTTGGATTCCGGTGGGAAGGTGCCGTTGGCGGCCCAGAGATCAATCAGCGGCTGCATTGGCTCAAGCTCGGCCGGCTTGAGCATATCGAGGGCGGTAGCTGTCAGCACAAAATGGCTGAAACAGCTGTTGAGTTGCTTCTCCAAGTTCAAATGGTAGAAGGGCTCCGTGAAGTGGGCCCAGTAAAGGTGAGCGTAGACGCGGAACATCTGGAGGAAGATGGTCTGGCAGATGTTGAAAAACTCCTTGGGGAATCCGCTGCGCTTGCCGATCCAGTCGTCAGGACCCGTCAAAAGTGCCGTTGTGGTAATCTGAGGGTTATGCGCAAACGAGACCCCCGACGCTTCGGTGGGGAAGATCTTGGTATCGTCAATCTTGCCCGAGATCCACCGCTGCATCAGAGTAATGTATTCATATGCTGGGAGCTCAATGGGCTCGAAGCGGCTGTTTAGCCACGTGTACGAGTGGTTCCTGTGCCCATTTCTGTTAAAACAGATCCTTGAGGTGCTTCGACATGGGCATTGGGGGTTTCCGTTCTTACGTTCCAGCGGACATCCTGGGGCAGGTAGTGGAGTTGCAAATCGACTTTCCATCCTCTTCCTTCTCGTATACAACTCTGACAAAGTTCCACAAGTTGCGATAATGCTCAACCACTACATGATGATGTCAGTGGACACAATAACGTGTAACAGTCACAGAAAAGGAACATGAATTACCTTGATGAGCAATCCACTCGCCCTGCTCCACCGTCTTGGGCCTAGCGCTGAGTGTCATAAAGTTGCCCTTGACGATGTGCTTCGCGGCAGTCGGGTTCAGCCACAGTGGCAGCGGCCTGGGAAGATGATAGGCGTTGAGGGCCTCTTCACCAGTGCCCATCATACCGATGGACTGAGATAGTGAGGGTGAGGCAGGAAGTGGCGGCAGCTTGGATGACAGGTTGGCTGAGCTCTGGCTGGAGATGGAATTGTTGCTGGGTGAGGGCATATGATGATGGTGAACATCGTCGGTGGCGGGTGATTGGGGGGTTTTGTTTGACGTGGTTTTGTTTGCCGTGCCTCTCAGGCGGGCATTTCTGGTTGGGTCAGCATATGTCGACAAATCCAAGACATGTTTGTATTCCGGACCGGATATTGGAGGATGATGGAGGACAAAGAAGGTTGAAACGTAACGGCAGTAATATTGCTCGTGATGGTATATGTACTGTGCGTGCTGCCCGGCCGTTGTGTCTGGGTGACCCTGAGAGGAACCTAGCTCGAGACCAAGACCATCATAGCCATCACGCTATAATAATGACATGTGATGGCTGAAAATATGAGAAAGCAGAACCGAGACATACGGATCCTGAGAAACCAGAGAAACATGAATGACCGAAGACCATCCGATTGCAGCCTCTCACAAGTAAAGCCCACTAGGCCAGTTGTGGAGAGAACCAGAAGTGACAAGCATGTGAGATGAGAGAGAGAAACGTAAAAAAGGACGGGTACCTACATTCCAGAAAAGAGGTTCGACATGATACCGACTTACACGGGAATGTAAACTTGGGTGCTGTAGTAGGTAGACAGGACGTGATGGTGCGTGCTTGCAACAAGGAGCGATGAGATGTCGGACTGGAGTTGCGAAGAAGCCGGAACAGAGTAGGTACTGTAGCGATGTACAACTCAGAACGGTCAAAGTCAATTGACCTAAGTAACGTTGAGGATGCTCTCGAATTACTGTAGCAGCAAAAAAAGTACGCTAGCGTGGACTGCGTGGTGAGTAGTGATGAAGATGGGGTCGCTAGACAATGGAGAGAAATGACGGGCAGCGTGCTGTCGCCAGGTGGAATTATTCTGCAGGGTCAATTGTGTGAGGAAACCTAAGCAAAGTGGACTTGAAGCAAGGGAGCGGACAGGGCCTGACTCGGATTCGGGAGTTGACGATTTCAGTTTTGAGTTTCCCGTCTTCCAGGTTGTTCGTTGTGTACCAAACTGTAACGAAAAGGGGGAAGGAGGAAGCTGTGACGACTGCCCGGCCAGCGAATTGAATGGAGGTTGAAACAGACCGCCACTGTCCATAACCCATTTGGCAGCTGTCAAGTATTCAGTACACTTAGTTCTCCACCGTGCCCCTGAAAAGCCAAGAAATTGGTAGCGGGACCGGGCGCCACCACGTGCTATCGCTCGACTTTCGCGCCTGTTTCCTGGCCAAAGAACTTTCTTCCCCACATCGGCTACAAGGGGTCAGCGCGATCCAAACAAAATCGCTGCCCGACTGCGACTAGTGCACAACTTCACTTGGTTACAGGCAATCACTCACGGGGCAGTATCTCCTACCTCTCCAGGGCATATATAATCACTGCCTACTGCCGCTCGACACTGAGCGGAGTTACCTGGGTACTGTAGAGGTACCTCTACCTTACGGAGCGACGTCAACACTACGGACGTACCTTCCATCTTGTGTTAACAAGGTCCGAGTTCGGACGAGTCGGCTGGTTCCGTCAACCAATTCAGGCAACCGCAGCCGTTTGCTCAAGTCACAATCGGACAAAGAAGGGACGTCAAAACCTGGAAGCGACGACATGATCAACCGACATTATCCGCCATAATCTTGACCGGCTTCAGTTGCAACTGAATTATTTCAGAACCGAACACCAAACGCTCTGCCGCAATTGACCGATCAAGATGAGCTTCCAAACACTCGCAGAAAAGGTCGCCTTCTTCGAGGTGCTGGACGCCCTCAGTGAGACCATCAGTGATGATGAGAAATTCGACACCCAGGAACAAGAACATCGCGCAAGAAGCAAAGCCTTCTTCAGTTCCAAGACGAAGCCAAAGCCAAAGTCAAAACCAAAGATCCCGACAATTCCTCAGACACAGCCGCCGGCAGCGACACTTTCGACTCCACTCTCCAAAACATCATCATCATCGCGGGTCGACATCATCAAAGCCACCCCGGGAACGCAGGATCTCCGAAAAACTGCCCTCAAGAACACAAGAGACACACCCAATGTCTCAGATACTTCCCTTATCGTAACAGAAACACCACAACCAAGCACAAGCTCTGCTCGGCCGGCTCCCCCATCGCTGCAGAGAAGTGCGACGTTGCCCATACCGTCAACTGCAAGACTGGTTTCATCACCTCATCAACAATCTCCGTCAGGCACATCTTCGACGAGGAAACGAAAACGCCAAGCCGAGGCAAACGCTGTACCGGAAGCAGACCAGATATTCCGCACTCTCATGTTCTTCTACATTCCCAACGACAACGTTGCCCCTGCCCGACGACTGCGCATTTCCAGAGCCCAGCAATATGGGGCCAAGTGGGTTCGCTCTCTGAGAGAAGCTACTCATGTCATTGTCGATAAGCTTCTGGCCTATCATGATATTCAGAGTGTTCTAGAAGCTACCCCTACAACATCTGCTCCAGTCATTGTTAACGAAGATTATCCCATAGACTGTATTCAGTTCCGCACAATCCTCAACGCGGACCAGGCTCGCTATCACATCCCAGGTCGACCTCAACCAGCTTCACCGACACTACTTGCGCAGGCAACAGATACCCATGCACCATCCCAAATCTCCAATCGGTCACTACAGGTCAAGGTATCGACGGCAAAAAGGAGAAAGCAGGCCCCTAGTTCCCAAGATAAAACTCAGTCACAAAGCGAGGAATCAGTCCCTTTGGCCGAGTCCATTGACGTACAAGAGAAGGGCGCTAAACCTGTGGCTAAGGAGCAAATAGTAGAAGATTTGGCGGATGATGATTACATACCAGAACCGAGGCCACCCATCATCACAAGCCTACTTTCTGGTGGTCCTCGCTTAACAAGTAGTCTGCCAAAAATATCACCTCATCGTCAAGACGATTCTCCGGAAGATGACCCGAAAGACGAGCTTTCGGGATTTATTGAACTCCTACATCAGTACAAAGACCTTCCCTTGGATGGTCCTCTAGAGGATGATGCTCAGTCAGTCGTCTCCTGCCAGGAGGAGATCATATCTGAATCCGAAATAGAGGAGGACTCCGCAGATGAACGCACTCAACAGCGCCGCTCACAACGAACACGCCGACCCACTCAGAAAAAAATCGCATCTGAAGATCGGTTTGCCTGTAACAAGGGTGGGACTAAGGACAAAGCCGCTGAAGCCCAAAACCCCAATGCCAGGACAATCGAGGTTCTCCAATCAATGTGCGACTACTACAGCCGAGTTTCTGATCAATGGCGCACTACTGCCTACCGTAAAGCAATTGCTACTCTCAAGCGTCAGAATACTAGAATTACCACGGCAGATGAAGCACACCATCTCCCCAGCATTGGGAAGAGACTGGCTGAAAAGATCGAAGAAATCGTCACAACTGATTCGCTTCGGCGCCTTGAGTACGCCCAAGCCTCGCCACTGGACCATGTTCTTGCAACGTTCCTCAAGATTTACGATGTTGGGAACGGCCGCGCCAATAAGTGGATTTCTCAGGGCTTCAGGACGTTGGATGACTTGAAGCAGAAAGCAAATTTGACGCACAATCAACGGATTGGTGTCGACTACTACGAAGACCTGAACACGCGCATTCCGAGAAGCGAGGTAACTGCCATTGGCGACTACATCAAGAAAGAGGCAGCACAGATTGATCCAGCTGTCGAGTTGCTCATTGGGGGTAGTTATCGGCGTGGAGCGGAGAGCTCGAGGGATGTGGATTTCATCATTACCAAGAAAAATACTACCTCGTCAGCCGACTTGGTTCCCTTCTTCGAGCGGCTGCTCAAGGTCCTGACGGACAAGGGCTGTGTGGTTGCTACTTTATCGGCTCTACATGCGAACCGGAAAGGGAAGGATGGACCAGGCAGTAAATGGCTCGGCTGCTGTGTGCTGCCACGGGCAGACGAAGCCACAAGCGACAAGATGATAATCAGGAGATCTGCCAAGTCAGCTTCATCAAGCACTCCACGTCCGATATGGCGCAGAGTAGATTTTCTGCTTGTCCCCGAAACCGAGTACGGCGCCGCATTGATCTACTTTACTGGGAACGATATCTTCAACCGGAGTATGCGTCTCCTTGCATCAAAGAAGGGGATGCGGTTGAACCAGAGGGGTTTGTACAAGGAGGTTATGAGGGGACGTGGCAGAGTGAAGGTCACAGAGGGACAATTGGTTGAGGGCAGAGATGAGAGAAGAATTTTTGAGATCCTTGGGGTCAAGTGGCGCGAACCAGAGGAAAGATGGTGTTAACGTTTTGGTTTTTCAGTGTGTTTATCTGGTATCCCTTGGAGAATAAGCCGTACCATCCTAGAATGGGAGCATCATCCAGTACGTTCCGTGTTTGAATCGAGACGTCAACTGGTGCTTTCCGCATAGGCTACTGAGCCGCACTTGAGCTGCTTTCAATTGGCTAGAAAGAAGTTATCGACGTTATCATTATTCCTATTTTTATTTTACAACCCCACAATATGGTATAATACCAAACATGCCCCTTAGATTTCCTTGCTTGAGAGCAGTGCGGAACGCCGAGGCATCTGCTTGTCCGTATTTGGCAAAAGTGAAGGATGGGAAGGAAGACCAAAAGCTACTGCACTATCATTGTTGAGGGAAGATTTGCAGCCATCACGTTAACGATACATCTCATTCATTCCCACCCGGCTTCAAGCTCAACAACAAAGGCCAAGGTCTCACACATAAGATGCTCAATAGCAACCGAACTCCAAAGAACTCCAGTCCGCCCAAGCGTTTCATACGATTTAATCGGCATGGTGCCCAATAGCGAAGACAACGAATCTTATGAACGCGGGATATAGCACGCTAAGGGATATCTTTGAGAGGTTGACGAAGCCATTGCGCTAGAGTGCCCCGGTTCTTTGATGCAAACGCGGAACGCTACGAAGCGCGCTTTGAATCCTGCCGCGCCTTTGTAGATATCGGCGACATGCCATACCGTTCCCTGCTTGACGACGGCGAGGATCCATGTCTGCGGAGTAAGGGGACTTGTGAAAGAAACGTTCGAAATCTTCACAAAGTGATATAAGACCAAGAGGATGCAAAAATGACAGGTTTTCTATTTTTTTTTTCTTTTTTTTCTTTCTCCTCGAGACGTTCTCTTCACCCTCCAGCAATCACCCTGCTCCGGTCCATCTACTTTGAGTCTCTAGAGGAGGAATCCACCTCGCACACTCATTACCATGTTCTCGTCACTCATTCTCTCCGGAGCGTTGCTGGCTATCTTCCAGGTATGATGATGTCCCTACCTATCTACCTACCTACCTACCTAGGTACCTAGGTACCCAGCTACACCAACACACAATACCTAACCTAAACAGACAATCCCCACCACCCTCGCGTTTCCCACCTTCAACTCCAACTCCCCCATCCCCTCCAGCTACGACATCCCCTCCTCCGACTACACCATCCAAGACGATCTTCCTCCTCCTTCCTTCAACATAACCACCGCCACAGAAGAAGAAGAAGACCCAGCCACCAATGCCGGCGGCGGCATCCTCGAAGCCCACGCGGTGAATAAGAACAGTCGGGAAGTCATCCGTGTCGACTGCGATATTGGCGGCGGCAGCAGCAGCAGCAGCACCAAGTGGGGGTACGCATTAGCCAAGTACGTCGCGGCGGGCGTCAAGCATCTGAAGGAAGTGTCGGGAACGCCGAGCGACGGACCGGGCCCGGGGAATTGTGGGCGGGTGAGCTGTAGTTGGGGAGCGGCAATTTATTGGTGTAATGATGTAAGG